TTTCAAGTTTAACATTTCCCATACTTACAGGAACAATTTAAATACACAAACTTTAAAGAATTTCACCTCACATACCCAAACACAGGAACCCAGCAGTATCCTCACCACTCACCACTGCTTCATCTTTTTTGTAATATCATCATCTTCACTGTCCCCTGGAGTCATTTTGAATTACCTGGCTTTTCCTTGAGGAACCAGCAGCTTATTTGAAAGGCATTACTGAAGTCAATTCTAAACAGAGACATGTGTTTCCTTTTTATTTTTGTCTCAGCCAAGGAGGAGACCTGTGTGATCTAAAAAGCTACTGGATTTTACTATTCTTGGCATTATTCAGGCTAGAAATCGCAAAGGGGCAAACAGTCTTTTTTCAATGTCCTGAAAGCTTGAAAAGAAAAACAGAATAAAAGACTAAAAGCCTTACAAAAAGTGCCACGCTGCTAAAAAATGATTACACAACAAAAATTGCACAATAAAAAACTAAAAAGAATGCCTTTTCACCAAGCTGCAACTAGAATTTTGCTTATTTTAAAACTAATTTTCCCAATTGTATCCACATTGAAAACTTGGCCAGTTGTCCAGATTATGCATTTCATGGGAAAAAGGAAACTAGTAACAATAATTTCATTTAGAATAGTTGATGTCATTTTCTTTTGCCATAAAGAAAAGGCTATTTCTGCACTTGAAACAAACCAGAAAACTAATTATTCACATTAATGTGTGCATTATTCACAAACGTTCAGTTCAGCTATATACTGTAAGTCATGCTGTCATTTATTTTCATGTTATGCACATTACTGCTAAAAACGTTAAGTCAACATTGGGAAAGCTTATCAAAATTCCCTCACAATTTTGTATTTTTTATTAATACATGTTCCACAGCAGAGCTCCTCACTCCAGACCCACTAGGACAGAGCAACATGTTCCACAGCAGAGCTCCTCACTCCATACCCACTAGTCCAGAGCAACACAGTCTGAAACGTTGCTCCCTACTGGCCCTCCAGAATGTATGGGTTACTCACAACCTCAAGGACTACTTCCATAACTGTTTGAATTAAGTCACCAAGAGCTCAAGTATAATGAAAACGAGAAGATTCTGTGCCTCTCCAAGACCAACAATGAGGATCGCTAGTCTAAAATTCAGTCAGGCAGTGAATTGAGCAACTCTATAATGCTTATATTTCCAAATTATTATTAATCATAATTCCAACAAGATATTGTGGCATTTGTTGTAAAAAAAAAAACTTTTAAAATCTGATCAAATTCAAAATAACAAAAAAAGAAAAAAAACATACTTGACAGTTTACAGAACAGGAAAATTGATAAAACAGTAAACCAATGTTAGATAAAGCAACTGTTTCATATTAGCTGAGGCCCAAGTTTTCAGTGTTTTATAAATTGAGCAGTGGAAATCAGTACCATTCAAAACCAGGAATTTTGGACGTGAATGAAATCAATCTGTGATGATTCAGACTCGGGTTCAGTTGACTAGAACAGAGGGAGGCAACCATGTATTCCAGTCAATGACAATGCAAGACAATTCAAACATATACTGTACTTCCTCTGGGCCTAGGAACTGACAATTAATTAATTAAATGGTCCTTTTGATGAATATCAATAATTAAGGACTAGGTAAAACAATAAAGTAGGGCCTAAAGTACCTAGCAATGGTCAAGGAAACATTATCATTCCCTGGGTGGATGGTCATGAACTGAATTTTCTGAATACAATTAGGACTTATAGTGTAAGTCGTATCAGTGAACAAGTGCAAAGAATTCCTTTCCTCTGTATCCTGCTGAATCAGTTTCTCTATAATCCTTTAAATTTAAGATGATAACCTGTACTGTAAAATCATGAAAATATGGCATTAAAATATATTCCTCATTCAAATAAGTAGCACTGCTGTGCCAGTTGATGTGCCAATCAAATTCACAGCACTGGTAAACTAAGGCCTGATTATCATTTTGAGTGAATCTATGTGACCTGAAACCAAGGGCACACAGACATAGCAGATATGATAATCATGACATTCAAAAACAATGCCTATAATTTAATTATTTTCCCTAAAAACACGCATGAGAGAAAATAATATCTGGATTCAAACTAATTAACGGCTGTGGTCAGGTGACAAATACCACATCATCAGTGAATTTTTGTGTTGTACTGTTTTGTTTAATTTCACCTATAATGTAGCTCAAAAGATCTTTTTGCACGCCTCTCAGTTTGCGTACTTGTTATCCATCGATTCTTACCTACATTTGAACAAATATAAGGTCCCCATTGTTCATTGCCAGTTTTACCCTGTCTAGGATTTTACAATTCGCATGAAATAAAAACAAAGTAAGCACCATTTTGTATTTCAAACATCTGTTTCAGCAAATATATTCAAAGCAATGAATCATAGAACCCTTGTATTACTTGATACTGTAGGTTTGCCGTAAATACAGCATGATCACATTTTACAAATTTGCCTTTGGTCTCAGACTGAAATGCCAGGAAAAGAGGAAATACAGAATGCGCAATGGAATGCCATCTCACACAGGCACCTACGAAGTGACATGCATGAAATGGATTTCCTATAGCATACAGCAAAACCCTGATGCCCATAAAACCTGAAATGGATCCCATAGGTATGCAGTGGGAGTTTATCAGTCACCCAGGATGAACTTCAAAGGGTTGTGCTTTAGCTAATGGATGGCAATACCTCTTTGATCTGGCTAATCCACACTGTCACAGCTTGAAGAACACAAGCAGTCTGGTCTCTCCTTGTGCACGTTTCCTGTCTACATTTCTTGTTTACTTAAAAAACACAGGTAAAACGAGGCTTTTAACATTTTTAAAAATTGCTTTCAGATTGTTTTTTGTGAGCTTGCAATCAATTAATCAACTAGCAGTCTTTTCATAGTGTCTATAATTTATCAGGATTATTTGATAAAATGTAATTACAATTAGCATTTCTAAAACTATTCTTAGCTGGATTTTCAGCCACACTGTAATTAAAGACTACAGCTAAGGTCACGTATTTAGTTGTTGATGTCTGTATGGGGATCACAAAAAATAGGGCTTCTGAACATTATCCAGGGGCTCAGAGAACAAAAAATTAGATTTGTCACAGAGGTTTCTAGTTCTGATTCTGAATAACCTTAAGATTTGCTTTTTTTCATTTCATATCAGCTCGCAGCGTTTAACACATTCATTGGCTTTATTCATTGAGACAAATGGAATATTTGGCATCTGAAGACACCTACAGTATGAGATCTGATAGATTTGAGGCTCTGCTTAAAGATGACTGCCATGGGTCTTAGCAAACCTCTAATACAGTTAAAGTAGACAATGACTCATCAAAGCATTCTCAGCAGGTCAAATACTGTACTTTATTACAGTATTACATTTAAAAACAAATCAGCATTTTGGCCATAACAGACCATAGCTATGGTGACACCACAATGTTCCGGGTAATTGCTAATCAGATTTTCAATAACCACTTAACAATTTGGGGTAGCCCATAACCCTTTCCCAGGAAGTAATGGGCACAAGGTGGAATACACCCTGGACTGGACTCCAGGTCATCACTAGGCACACACAGACACAAACTCACGTTCACCAAGGCCAGTTTTACAGAAGCTGATTAACCTACCAGCGTGTCTTCGGAAAGTGGGAGGAAACCCACCCAAACATGGGAAGAGCACAGATACCACCCCAAGAATTTAACCCAGGACTAAGTAGCTAGCAAGAGATAGGCCTGTAGTTGACTGGCGAGGATGCTGAAGTTTTAATACAACCCCCCTCAGCCACAGTCCCCCAGTAATTCAATAAAACAATCCAGGGTAGAAAATTAAGCTTTTGTACCTTACAGTTGTAAAACTGTGTTAGACACTGAGCAAGCTTATAAGAACAATCCCTGCTTCGCCCAAGACCAAGGCTATCAAATGTAAATTCTGTTTTAAGTGTGCACTGCATTTATGTTTGAACGTCTGGTTTTACAGGCACAGAAATTGTCTAAATTATATAACAAGTAGACAGTGAAGGAATCTCAGTACCCTGCCTTTACATTGCTTTTACCTCTTATAAAAATGGTACAAATCTGCCACTGGTTGTGTGTAAGTTAGCCATGTTAGTGAGAAAATATTATATTAGTAGTAGTTTCTACATAACATTCTAATCTCAACGTCCAGGCAGCTGGACTGAATTACGTGTTGTGAAACACATTATTTCAGTTACATACACAGTATGCACACCTTAAGTGAAATTCTATATTATACTGGAAATAGTACTAGAATTTGATATGTTCTACTACAATGCAAAATTCCTACTGAACGCATCACAATTTTGAATCCGACGATTTGTTGGACATTTCAATGAATTTCATAAACCTAGCTGTCTAGAATCAATCCCAGCCGCTTTCGTACAGAGTAAGAGAGAGCAGCAGAAAAAATAGCAATGAAAAAAGTCTTTGCCAGAGGCCTATTTTGACGAGGGGATAAAAACCATAAATTGTTACCGCCCCCTTTCACTCTAACAAATTACCTTATTAATTAACACCACCTGCTGTGCCATCGGCTCTAAAACGGTCAATAAAGCCAAACAACTTTACCGATATATGTGCACGAATAGTTAATATGAACCTCCCACTGACAGTCCTTGGGGGAAACGAATTGAAACAATTGTCACAATGTACTGTAAGTGTTACCTATACAATCCAGAACCACAACAGGCAATGAGTTACTCAGAACAATGCAGATATCAGTGGCATTCAGCGTCCCTGCAAGACATACACTTTATTTTTTTTTTTTAGCCTTACATGCTTAGATAATGCCAGAAAGACACTTTTTCCCCCCCTTCTGACGTTTCTTGAAGTGTGTCCGGGAGATCAAGGAAGTTTACCACAGAGACAATACTTGCCCGTGTAGTTTGTAAAGTTAGTAAAAAGAAAATCGTGTCGGTAAATGTCCCTGCAAACGATGCAGACACAGCGGTAGCGTGTACTGTAAATGCTGTTTTACCTTCTCTCGTCTCGCTGCTTGCTTCTCCATCCTGCTTTCTCGTGCTTTAATATCCAGCTATTCCAACGGGCAACTTTCATTCTATGTTACATTCTTCACAGCGGAAAAAAAAAGAAAAGAAAACCACCTTCGGCACAGTCTGTCCGATTCTTACGCCGCCTGTTTTAACCGTGGGGCGAGTTAGGGAGTTTGGTGTAAACTGTTATCCCAAGGAGTTTGACAAGTTTCTCACTGTCCAAAAATACGCTTTTCCCAGAAAAAGTTCGCCATGTTGTCAAATCCCGTTTTTTTTGTGTGTGTGTGTGTGTGAGAGAGCTGTTGCTATAGCGGATTTGCTTTCCCTGCGGAGACTGGGATATGGGATATGGCCGCAGCAGCACAGCTACTTTACACTTAACAATGACATCAGTTCGGAGTAGAGTTACCTCGATGATAGAGTAAACCGCCAGTCGTTTCTGGTTTTTATTTTTTTCTGGTGCGTTGACATTAGTCCCGCTTTGATGGTTCAGTTTAGGGATAGTTCAGAGAATTAATAAATGTAGGAATTTATTGTCTTTGAGGACCCCCACTCGCTCCCAGGGAAAAAAAAAAATGTTTTTCACGTATCGAGCTAATTTGCCAAGGAATTCTACTCGAGTGAGTCCGTGTCATCCCTATGGAGCTTATTTGAGTTTTTATCAGGTCCTGTAAAACAACACCAGCCTCACACGAGAAAACCCCAGGACCACTAGTGAACCCGTAGAGGATACACACATTGACGAAGGAGTAGCGAGTTTGTTCTTCGTAGTTTTCCCAGGATTGTTTTAAAATTCTATGTTCAACTTTCAATACTAAACCCAAAGCCAAAATTGACTGATGGCACGTTTTAGAATAAGAATTTAAAGTGGGTTACAAATGAGAGGAGCTATTTGGCCCATCTCGTTCATTTTGCTCACTTATAGCTGAGTGATCGGAGGATCTCATCCAGCTGTGTCGAGAATAATGTCTGTGTAAATACACTGGGGGTCCATATACCCACAGCAGGTTATTAATGAATGACTCTTGTTTTTAGCAATACGTATGCACCTACTTATAATACACTTTCCACGTGTATCCTTTAGTCACTGTTTCAGTATTGTTCATGAAATAGCTCTCTGGGTTGACTTTGTCAGCATCTTTCAATATTTTATTTTCTTATTATTACCTGTAGCAATGAATGGGTTGGCACCATCAAGCCTCAACGAGATTTTAACATCAAATGTTTTTAACTTGTTTAACAAGATGCCAGGCTACCCTCTATTTTTTGTATTGGAATGTTGCACTTAAATCGGGAAAATGCTCTTCCCATATTTATATAGGATGCTACTGTTTTCAAAACATCCTTCAAACCACATTTGTTTGCCCAAAGTAAATAATTACCTAATGCGATGTTTTTTTCTTTACTTTTCCTCTTATGTTCTATAGCTACCTTCTTAGTTTTGCTGCTACTTTGTTTAGTTTTACTACTGCTTATTTTTACAAAACATTATATTTGCTTTTTAAAATTGTTTTATTTACGTAAACCCTGCTTCCAGATTATCTTTAATAATATAAAAATAGTCACTGATTTTAGTTACTTGTAACAAGTCCTTTAAACTTTTTTTTTTGTTCAAGGCAACAGGTTCAACCTAAGAATGTTAATGAAACATTGCATATTAGATGAATATTTTACTTAACTATTTTAGCATATTTCAAACATTCCTTCAGAATATTTCCTTAAATGTTCATTTTTCCAGTTTGGATTTCCTCACCGATTTTCTTTAAACTACAGTCACTGCTCTTCAGCAATGTGGCAGATGTGGAACATGACATTGGGGCTTTTCCAAAAATGAGTACAGGGTTGCAGCTCCCAATGTGAATGAGCAGTGGGACGTAGCCAGATGTCTACTATCACTGACTGCTTTCAACATAACGAATCGCCCTTTATCAAAGCACTGCTTGAACCATGGCAAAAATCAAGAAGAAAATGGAATATACTGTAGTTGTGCAGTCTGACAGGCCCGAGATTTTGATTTAAACTACTTGTTTTTCCTGAAGAACAAAGAGGTAGACAATGAAAAAGTTGGGGAAATGTTACAGCAAAGCAGAATGATCACACAGAGACATCATGCATAAAATGGCAGGTATACAGAAATACTCAACACACACATACTTAAAAAGCTAACTCTGAATCAGAACATATCAAAACGGACAGATTTTAAGATGACTTATGGGGATACCCAGGGAAAGGCAGGCAGGTAGAAAAGTTGGGAGGGATATCATCAGATGTTGAGTCCCTTTTCTCATGTTTTTTAATGCTGTTTCTAGTAAAATTAGATTATAACATAGAATTTATTTAATCTACAGTGTCTATAGAAAGTCTTCACCCCCTTGGACTTGTTCACATTTTATTCTGTTACAGCATGGAACCAGGATGTATTTATTTTAAGAATTCTTTAAGAACTCATCAACACAAAGTACTCTATAATGTCAAAGAAAAAAAATCCAGACATTTTACTAAATTAATTAAAAATAAAAACAGAAAATAATTGAATGTTTTTTCCAAAATTAAGAAAGGTTATACCAACTCTTCAGAAAAGTACAAAACTGAAAATGACATTTTAAAAAAGTCAAAAGAACATTCCTGAATAATGTCAAAAGAACAACATGAAAAAAGAAAAAAATGCTGCAAGACAAGCACTTTAAACCTTGCAGAAGCAATATTTTTAGAAACCACAAGTTTCTTCTTGACAGCATCCCTTGGTCTAATGAAAGCAAATTTACAATCTTTCTTTTTCGTCAAAAACGGACCCCAATCTGTTTGGAGGAAAGTGAATGTTTCTAAACGAAAAGGTCCCACATGGACATTGGTCTATAATGATCTGGTCTTGCTTCAGCAAGAAACCAGAATTTCTAAACCAGCAACATAAACATTTAAACCAAAATGGTTTAAATACAGCCGAATAGCAAATAGAGAGCAATGGCTTGTTCTGTTCTTCTCTGAGGGTCACTTTTCAACGTGACAAAGGCCCTGAACACAGGATGAAAACAACATCAGGTTTTTGAATGAAGCACAAAATGGTTGTTCTCACCTGGACTCCTCAGGCACTGGACTCGTTTCAGTTTGTGAGGAAGAAAACAAGACAAAAAACAGCTGTAAAGCAAAGTCACCTCTCCAGCTACTGAGATGTAGAAAGTACGGACTGTAAATATTGGAAATTGCATTAGAAATTTTTATTAAAAATGCCACCATCGATGACAAGCAATTAATGATGAAGGTGGACATAAAACACTGGAGAAAATGGTGTGATCACATTCATATTAGAAGATGCTTTGTTCTTATGATTCTGATTCATAGAGACTTGGTACTTATTAATTAAAAGTATACCAGTCATCTATATTTGCATTCCACATATGCACCATGAGTGTCAGATACAGTATGTGCACCTCTCAGGATCTATAACTGAAAAAAGAGAGAAGACACTGACTTGTGTCGAGAGGAGAGGCGTTCATAATGAAAGAGGAAAATGCGATAGCGACATCTTCTGTCCAGTATTTGAACTACAACTATTTTAGAGTGCTAAAGAATGTTCAGAGGTCACGCTCTAACCCTGCCTATTGTCACCCATCTAAGAACTTTAGATCATTAACAACTTGGAAGTGTTTCCATTAAATACAAAGGTACATATATGTTTTCACTGTAAATTAATTAAATTAAAAGATGAACATTTTCTCTGCAGCTATGTTTGGAGGAAAGACGTAAGAAGCATGGGCTTGTTCATGCTGATTGTGGCAGAAACTCTCCACCTCCCTCCTTGATGCGACTCAGGAAAAGGGAGTTCCATGAAAGCTGCAGCACAGCAAGGCAAAGATACGCAGCAAAACATTCCTGCACCGCAACTGCACTGTTGACACTCATGCAAACTGACTTTAAATCTAAACTCCGTTTCTGATCATGTCTCAATTTTGGCAATTCGTGATTGTCATTAATTTAAATTTAAATTAATTCCAATCGAAAGCAAGTGTCGCGTCCCTCTCGCGTGGAATGTTGAAAGTTGGGAGTTCTATACAGAGTAAAGTGGGTTTTAAAGAGAACGGAGTACTGTTTGTGTTGACAGGTGGGACTTTTGGCTGGATAATACTTCTTGAGTCTATAATGTATGTCTAATCAGTACTATATTTACAAGATCTTTAATGAAGCAGGTTTCTTGCTTCTGGACTCCCTGTCTCGCGGGTTCAGGCCTGTAGCTTGTTTCTGTAGTGGTTTAGCTGGGCCAGGCTGATGCTGCTGCCTCCACACACCAGGATGACCAGCGGGCCCAGTGGGCGGGGAAGCCGGGCCCGGTCCTGCAGCCTCTGGATCAGCCCAGTGTAGACGGCCGCCAGCCCGGCGCCACACGCCAGCTCCACCAGAACGCGCTCGTCATCTGCCAGAGGGGGACACACCGACCGTGAGCTCCTGGGGCCGCCCCACACACAGTCTGACTGCCGCAGGACGCACTGCAGACTAAGGCTGCGGTACGGGAAAGCACCAGACACAAGCAAGCGTCATGTTCTGGCTTGGATGCCACCCTGCGGCAGCCTGTGCTGGTTTTTATGTCCTCCTCACCAGAGCTGACCACTACAGCGAACTGCTCGCGACGATCAGCAGACTGAAGATCGAATCAATAAATCAATACAGCCACATGCGTAAACTTTTTGTTTCTACTGATGTAGTTCAATTAATGTTTGCCTTGGATACAAGCATCTGCTAAACTATATCCATCCATCCATTTTCTAAACACTACAGTATATCCAACACAGGATTATGGGGGAGCTGGAGCCTGTTCCAGCAGGCCTCTAGATTAAATAATTGTTATTATTTATAATTTTATATATTGTATTCCTTTTATTATTGTACATTAGGTTTTTATAAATTGTATAATACTAGCGTGAGGCACACTGGCGCAGTGCTTAGCATTGTTGCCTCACAGCACTGGGGCCCAGACCTGGGGTGCTGTCTGTGTGGAGTTTGTATGTTCTCCCTGTGTTCATGTAGGTTTCATCAGGGTGCTCTGGTTTCCTCTCACGGCCCCAAAACATACTGGTAGGTTAATTGACCCGGGTTTGAGTGTGTGTGTCTGTGTCTGTCTGTCCTGCGAGGGAGTACCCTGCCTGGTGCCCGTTGCTTGCCAGGATAGCCTGACCTGGGTGGATAAAGTGGATAGAAAATGGTTGGATATAATAAGAGCTCTAAAGTATTATATAATCGAAGTTGTTATTACAACAGTAATACCAGAGCTCTCTGTCACGGGTCAACTCCTCATTGATAAAGAATTACCTAGAAAGAGCTCCACTGCCTGCAGTGCGTCTTGGTCACTGACGACTTCAGAGATGATGTTTCCCTCCCTGGCGTAGTCAAAGGCTTGGCTGCACACAGTCTTGGCCCCCAGACACTTGGCCTCGCTGAGAGACATAAACGCAATCACATGCTCGTACCTACAGACATTAAGGCATCTTCTTGGATGGTTTACAAAAACTAGAACTGTAATATTTTCCTCTCCATGAGCAGCAGCAACTCTGTACCAGATTATGAGCAGTCAGACAAAAAGATTCTCAAACACAGAAAATGGCCAATAACAATCAGGAACAGAAAGCTTTGATGGATAAAATTACTGGCAATAGTATTCCTGTTCTTTTAAAGGGGCTTTGGAAAATTCCAATTTTTTCACTACAGACAAGTATCAAAGGAGGAAGTTTCAAGGCTGTTTTCCAGAGAAAACCTTTTTACTGCATTTTAAAGTCTATGAAAAAGCTTCAGAATTCATGTATTCAATTTGAAAGTTCATTACTCCTTAAATACCAGCATGTTAGATCTGTCCATCTAATCATTGAAATGCAAAAAGAGGTCACTTAGTATCCCCATCTCTATGCTTTTAGCTTTCATCCAAGTTTTTTAAAGCCTTAAAGACTACTTCTGTATTAAAAATGGCCTTTGAAGTCATTGCATTAAATATTTTCATGGTCACCTGGTGATGTCTGGAAGAGTGACCAACTTCCCAGCAGTCACTGCAGCATTCAGACAATCAGCACCTTTGGTCTCCATGGCAATAACTGGCACGTCATCCCAGCCCACCTCTTTCAATCCTTTCACCACCCCGCACAGCAGACCCCCTCCCCCTACTGCAACTACTAGAGCTCCAGGCTTGGAAGGCATGAAGGCCTTCAGCTCCCTCACCACGCTGGCATGGCCTTGCCTGTGAAGAAAGATGGATTATTACAAAATCCTTAAATTTCAAACTGGATGTCTTGGTCAGCTGTACTATATCATTTTCACAAAAATTACAACCTTAACATTGCTGTTCTAACATGTGGAAAATACTACAAAGGCATCCACTATATTGTATATATATGTATATACGTATATATGTATATTGTTGTTATTAATAATGTTTGACAAGTGCACATACTGGTACTCCATAAAATCAATACAATCTGAAATTCATCCTGCTTAGTACAGACAGAAAGAAGGCCTGTATGGGTCTCATGAAGGACTAGAAAAGTTTTTAGAAGTTCATTTAACACCAGCTTGTGCTTTTGTGCAATGCTTTACAATGAGGTGTCAGTTTTATTTAATGAAATTGCTTAAATCATTTAAGCACCCTATAATAGACTGACTGTGTGCTGTTTGCATATAACGTGATCCAAAAATAAAACAAAAAATAAATCAATTAAATCATTCCTGAATTAAAAAAACAAACAGATACAGTAAATAAATGTACATCACTATTCTGACTATCATTATCAGTATATTCTAAATCACAGACTCCCGGTTATATACAGAAAAGACAAAGGCATTTTTAAGTAGCAAACATAAAAGCTTTCACACGCACATAGCAGGGACTGTACAATAACCATCAGACAAAGATAATTTTAAAAGCTCTGCCCCAGAAATGTGTACTGTGACATACTGTAAACTGTGTGAACGAGGCTGGGGGAAGAAGCTGTTAAAGATAAAACACATCACTCAATGTATTCAGTGCCCTTTCAGCAAAGGTACTGTAGCTAACATGCAAAACAAATCTTGCGATTGCCTTACCAGACCAATGGGTGATCAAAAGGCGGGATGAACATCAGCCCCTCAGTCTGAGACAGTCGTTGGGCCTCCTCGTTAGCATCATCCCACACCTGCACAGCCCAGCAGTGAAAGTCTGTGAAACACTTGCTTTGCATTTGTTAGCACTTGGGAAGGCAGAGGAGGCCCTTCAGCCCATCTGGCTGATCTTGCTCGTTTTTAGCAGCTATTTGATCCACGGGTCTCGCTCAGTCCCTTCTTTAAAGAAGTGGTACTGCCTTCAACAAGTTCTTGATGTGTTCTAAACTCCCAGATTAGCAACTCTGAATTAGTGTGCCAAGAGTGAACATCTGGCTGGTTTAAAATTGAATCCATTTAGCTAAAAACATTTTTAATTCATTAAAGATTTGGAGATCCACCTTAAACTGCCCAAGGCCCAGAACACCACAGTTCCCAGTTTACTGCTTACTTTTCCGAACACCTGCACATTGGCTCCCTGGTCCCTGAGTTTCTGGGCTACAAGGTCAGAGGTTGAGCCGGGTATGACGATAGTGGCCGGGATGTTGAGTTTCCTTGCTGCATACGCTGTAGCCAGGCCAGCATTTCCCCCTGCAGGGGAAAAATCAAACCATCTGAGGGTTACATTTCCATATCTGCAAAACATCTTACTGCCGTCGTCAAAGGATAATGAATGTTTCATATTCACCCACTTTGAAATAAATGTAGTTTTTTTCCCAATATAGAATTCCTAATCTCCGCAGCCTTCGAGATCATTTGCGGATGGCTCCTGGCACAGACCTGTCTAGTGAGCTAGGCAAGCGGTTTGCAGCGCGGGTGTAAACAGGCGCACATGCTGCTCCCTCCACAGCCTACGCTGACCAAAAACAGCAGTAAGGACACGTGTAGCCGTTTCTGGAATCCGCTACCCAGCCACTTCCTTAAACCAGCAATCCCATCAGCTGTGGCATGAGAGGGAAGATAAAGAAATCCCTCATTGACTAGCTTCTGGAGAGAGCTCCAAGTCCACAGACTGTCTGACAACATGCCCGGGCTCCAGAAAGCAGAAATGGAGTGCATACGACACGTATGAAAATATAAATACTTGGTGGTCTCCATCATTTTGCCACCGTGTTTGGCCTGGATTGTTTATAACACAATGAGCCGAGATTGCTGGGCTCTGGGCTTGAGTTGCCAGGGGTTTCTGGGAGTGAGCGCTGTAGTGGGCCAGCAGGCTGGTCTCGAGGGCCATGTGAGCCCCAGCTCTCCTGCAAGGTTTCCCCATAGAAAGGGCTCCGACAGGTGGGACACCAGAGGACATTCACAGGCCCTCTCCTTCCCCATGACCTGCAGGAGTGCTGGCTGTAAATGCCAGCTACAAACAATACAATAGATAAGAATGGGGAAGAACCAGTGACTGGATGTTCATGGGAAGAAGAAAACAAATGCTGGACTTGAGCAAGGTCAGATTCCCCCATGACGCTCTGTGCTTGCCTCGTCAGCCAGCATGCTCATTTACTTCCAGACACCCGAGAGACAATCATGAGTCTCATTTCACCTCCGTTAAACTGCCCGTGTGTAAATCCAGCACTACCAAGTACTTACATGATTATAGTTTCAACTGCAGTTTTTTTTTTTACAATAAACCAAGGAACCTACCTGAAGAGCAGACAAAGCCCTTGCATCCAGAGACTGCAGCCTGAAATGCAAAAACAAAAGGCACGACCAATTTACAGGAGAAATGTTTTAGGGCAAGATTGGCTTGACTGTTCTAAATTAAAACAAGCCATGCTTCAGATAAAGTGTACCCGCCCATTGCTTTTTACAGTATGTGCAATATATAAATAGTGTTTATCTGAAGTATATGTCACAAATTCATGTCCAGAGCCCAGTCACCTCACTTCATGTCCTACAGTCCGTTAAAGGTCCGGGTTCTGTAATAAGTGCTTTTACAGGGGATTTTATGTGCGTGAATTATCTCTGTGAAATGCCAGAGATTCTCACATGCTAATTTAATCATTGAGAGGCACAAAAGATCGGATTCATGTTCATGTTCAGTAATAAACAATAACACTATTACTTTTTTTCTCAATAATAAATCAATAATTATATTAATACAATGTCAAAGGTGCAATGGTTAGTATTCCTGCCTCACTGTGCTGGGGCCATGGGGTCAGTTCTGGTCCTGAGGTGTTGTCTGTGTGGAGTCTGCATGTTCTCGCCAGATTGAAGTGTTAATTGGTTAACTGTAGGTAGGCTCATTGGTTCTGTAAACTGGCCCTTAGTGTGAGGGTGTGCATGTTTGGGACTGTCTGTGTCCTGCGATGGACTGGTGTCCTATCTTTTGCCTAGTGCTTGCCAGGATAGGCTCTAGTGCATCCCAGGACAGACTCCAGGCCACTGTGACCCTGAACTGGATAAGCAGTTACTGAATGTGATGTGATGATGATGGTTAATGCAATGTCCATACTGCAATGTCAACATGCACAGTGCTTTAAGTGCCTATAAGCATTCGCATAGCTCTATTATTATTGATATTATATTGCTAAAGAGTTAAAGTAAAATGCCCAGCTGTATAAATGGATACAGACATATTTTGTTTTGGAAAAAAACAACAAGCCAAAAATAAAACAGTACTATCGTGCTTAGTCACTGGAAATCTGTAAGCCTCGATTAGAGAGATGGTCCAGACCACGTTTCTTTCTTTAATGTTCACTGTAACGCTGTATGTCCTGACCACAGGAATAAATTAACGCGTGAAGTTCCACGGAATATCTCTAGAGGGCAGTGTCTAATTGAAGATGTTGCAATCGCGGAGAACTAAAACCTGTGAGATGGAACCTGGTGTTTTTTTTTATTCTTTCACTTTGCTATCTTTATGCTTTCTACAGGCTACTAAAGTAACTTTATTAAGATGTAATAATTAAATATTAAAGATGTCCAACTTTGTTGAACTTTTCCAACCAATATTTAATATTAATAATTCGTCAAGGTTTTAATTTTTGATAAAATGATCGGTGATAAATAATTGAGTCAGCTTAAAACTTCTAGACAACTAGGTTGGAACTGTTTATGAAGGGGTAAGCAACTGGACGGACCATAGAAATGGATAAAGAATGGGGTGTCTCCATAAAATAGAGAAGCTGTGCGTTACAGCAGTCACTGATTAGTGGACGCAAAAACATTCCTGTGATTATTGTGATTATAACAATGTATCGAGTAAAGAAAGAAAACTTTTTAAGAAAAACAAGAGAGCAAGTCGTTCTAACAGAAAACAGGGACGGGGTGTGGGCTGACTGTGAAGCCCTCTGTCGCTTACAGTGCTTACCTTCTGACACAGGTGTCCGATCCCCCGGATCTTGAAGGAGCCCGAGGGCTGGGCATTGTCCATCTTGAGGTAAACAGGGGTTCCTGCTCTTTTAGACAGTGCCAGGCTCTCCAGCAAGGGGGTGTCAACGTGGAAGGGATGACCAGACATGTTGGTGCCTCAAAGTTCCTGGAACGAACCCCTGTTTTTATTACAGTTGTAGCTGCGATTTGTCCCACTCCACAACCAGACACCCAGAACACCCGAACTCTGGACCTCCAGCTAGCATCTGTGCACAAATCGGTCGAGAGCTCCCTGCTTGTAATTCGTGACTTGATTTTTTTTTAGACAAACAAAGCAATGTTTTTTAGTCAGCTGAGTGTAATAATCAACCCAGTGGTCGTCTTTGGAATAAACGGTGAGACATGCACCAGAGGACACAAACTGAAAAACTAAGTGGGAATGCATCAAAAACCGAGAACGGGAGACACTTCTTTACACGTAGTATTAACACGTACAGCGTTCAGCAAGAAGAGACTGAGACATACAATCGGAAACAAAAAGAAAACACCCTCAGATACAAGTGGAGAGTTGCATTCTCCTCTGAAGATTGCTCCAGTCTTTGGCAATGGTGCACTGAAATGACATGAGCCCATATCCATACTGTAGTTATTTTTGGGGGTTTCATTCCGATGAAAGTATCATTACATTTTGAATTAAAACGCAAGAAATTATTAAGGCATGAAGGTGCATTCCCAATACAAATCTGTTCTGACGAAAGTGAAGTGTTCATCTAGTAGAGAGTGCGGTGGGGGGCGCTAATCATGCTAATCATCAGCAGAAGAATAGAAGCGAATTTACACTACTGGAACAGCCATTCCTGTAAACAAGGTCACCGTTATTCAAGACGGGGAGTACTGTATATCTGAAGTAGTCTACACCCAGAGGAACATGTCAGACACGATCAGCTGTGATAAAGGAAGGCAGTTCTACACTGGGCTTTAGACCGTAATTTCAGTGTTCAAAGCTGAAGGCTGTTCAGCTCGGTTCACCTCCACATCTGGATATTTATAAGCTATTTACATGTTTCAGCTTTACTATATTTCCCTGTCTTTTTCAAATCCTAAAATAAAATGTTATGATTGATAATGTTCTGATATGTGTAAGCATACAGTACATGTAAGTATAGTGAAAAAACAAGATTGTTCGGTTTTGTCCTTTGACATCCGACTGACGTGCTGTTCAAGCGCTTACTTGTTAGCGCACCTGTGGATTATCAGAGAGAAATAAATTAGTGTCTGACGTCATATTTCTGTTTTTCACGAGAGACCCAAACGAGGCTGCAGTACAGTTCAGTAAACGGACGGTCCAAGTTCAAAGCTGGAAGCTGTTTTGAACAAACTGTGCGTACTCACTTCAGATAATCAGTGAAAGGCAGGGCGATTTGTTGCGAGCTTTGGTTTTTCTTCTCCTCCGCCTGAAACCAGTTCAAGGCTTTTTCAACCCCCTTTCCCTGGTTCTGCAAGATCTGCCTCAACAAGTGCGAAGGTTAAATGATCAGGTATATTAATCGAGTACAGACTAGCGATGCACTGTATCACCAGACAGCGAAATCGGGAGCTGTGCCAAATCTGACGGGACCTCGATACTCACTATTGTATTCATCATACAACAACATTCAGAAAATGTTCGATCGCACATTTCCAAATAAGTACTCCACTGTTTTTCACGGGCGTAGATGTTTTCAGAAACTGGAAGGACAAGTTAAAGCCAGCTATGTCACGAATTGTGCCCAATTTGAATGACAATGCACACTTGTCACAGGCTGTGTTACATTTTGTACGCTTACGCAGGCAGCAGCCTCCCTTTATGAAAATATTCCGATAAACAGCTTGTTTGTCTCGGCTGGCCGACTGGGAGAGCCAGTCTGGGGCGGTGGAGAACGTTCTGTCTGTTCATTCGCGTTCAGGGTCTCTTGTTTTTCCTTTTTGTCCTGACACAAGGGATCTTTTTTTAAAAAAGAAACTGGGGGAGAAAAGGAAACGTTTACTATACACATGAATTACCCCCCCGTCTCTCACAGCCTGGTTTGAGCCGGTTTCCTAGGGTCTGAGTCAACAGAACCTGACAGGTTTGAAGATGAAGCAGAGAGGCGAGCCGGCGGTGCGTTAATGGGTCCGCCCAGCTGCGACACTGTGCCGGGCGTTGCGCCATCCGAGCACCCCGCTTTAGGAATCGCGCGTCCAAAATAGAAGCAGCTCTTTTTGGAAATGATTAATTGAATTGTGCTCTCTGCAGGACCGTGGTCTCTTATTTTAAATACGTTGTAGGACGATAATTGGGGGATCTTCACTCGACGACGCGTAATACAAAAAGTGGGTTAGAAATGTCAACATTGAAAGCGTACAACAAAACGTCGTTTCATTTGTATGTTTATGTCATTGGTCTTAGAACTCGAGAAGATGATCATTACCAATGATCACGGTAATCAGTCATAAAGTTTTTGATGCCTTATTAGGATGGACAATTCAGGTATCCAAGTTATGTTTTATGTGTACATCATGAACAGCTATCAAACGCCTTCATGCTACAGGCAAGTAATTGCTTCGTGATGAGAAATAATCACAAGACTAACCGTTTAAAATAACCTAAAATACACGGCGACTGCTCAGATGAACTGTGCTAAGTACATAATAACTAACAGCGATTTCCGTTTGCAAAGAAGTTTCCTGCCTGGTCATTAGTTTCAAAGGGTCACTGTGGTCAAACAGTCCTGGCGGTCTTTCCAAAACTGGCCAGGCATGTACTATTTAAAACTGCAAACCTTTAAGGAAACAAGTGTGCACTTTACACCATACACAATGTAAGACAGAGTTTGTATGACTCTGTACAGTATATTGTATAATATACTGTAGCAAAACCGAATGAACGTGTACAGTATATAAACCTATAAGGGCATAAAACATTTCTTTATCTTAACCCATCTGAATGCTGGGAAACAGTTATTTTATTTCAATATTACTTTGCATTGTGATGTTTAAACCTAATTGTGTGTACGGATGTGAACATTATTGGGCTCAGGGGGAAAAAAAAAACACTGAGCTGAATTAAAGGGAGGGCTTAAAACAAAGGTGAATTGCCGAAAACTCATGCGATACACGGACTCAAAGTAAAAACCCATAAAATACCGGAGCTGTAAACAAGACGCACTTTTCTGCGCTCCAGGCCGTTGAAAGTCCCGTCGCAGCCCGGTGTCAAGAGTCCCACCTGTTGCGAGTGCAGAGCAGGGGCGGAGACAGTGACTGTGCGGAGGTGTACCACAGTCTCGGCTTCGTGGTTGGCTGCTGTAGGAGGGCCTCGACATATATATTGTAACTTACAATATGATGAAGTCAGAGCCACTCCGAAAAGATCTGATGCGCAAGGAGAGAGACTGTCAATCACCAAAAAAAAACACAACAAAACCGTCTTTTCTTCAAGACAAAAAAAAGGGAATAATCTTTTGTTCGTATTCTGTAAGTATTATGGTTCTTATCAAGAGTGTAAACAACGCTGTATAATTTAATTAGGGTTTTAGGGAGAATAACAACACGTTTAAAAGAAGGAATTAAGGATGCTGTAAAGGAAAAAAAATAAATAAAACATGTTGTGTGTAGAGGATACAGTATGTTAGTTTGCTGTGGATGTATGTCTGCAGATTTGTTAGAAAGTTCAGAAAATAAACTGAAAGATGGACAATACATCCGGTAGGAATACGACTAAAATAATTAAGAAAATATGAACTTGGGAACATATACATATACAAATAAAAAATAGAATTAACTGTACCACTCGTAAATTTATTTTTGGTCATTATTGGTAATCAAAGTGCATACAGTATACTGTATGTATATTTGTTGTTAATTTGAGGAAAAACTCTTATCTCTACTTATATTTTTTATTTAGAATGATGATATTATTAAGAAAGGAATACGACTAAAATAATCAAGAAAATATTAACTTGGGAAAATGTACAAATAAAAAATAATATTTAAAAAATAGAATTAACTGTACCACTCGTAAATTTATTTTTGGTCATTATTGGTAATCAAAGTGCATAGACTGTATGCATATTTGTTTGTTAATCTTATCTCTACTTATATTTTTTTATTTAGAATGATGACATTATTAAGAAAGGGTTTTCTGAAGTTGTTTTTTATTTTTCTGGCAGAGAATCTACAGTTGATCTTTCCATCATTCATCGGGAAATTGTCAGTTCTCAGCTATGTCTGTAAAGAATTAAGTTGACCCCTCTCTCTCTCTCCAGCCCTGCCTCTCCCTGACTGCACACTATGAACCCTACAGGAAGTCTCCACATCGCCTCCCCTCTGAGGGACAGTGTCCCCCTGACCAAAGTGGCTGGGACTGCCGTGTACCTCAAACTGGACACTGCCCAGCCCACGGGCTCCTTCAAAATCCGAGGCATCGGACATCTCTGCAAAACAGTGGGTGCCTACCTTGATATAGTCATCCTAGGGCCCTCTCTAACAGCATATAAGATGTGTACTTCTTGTAAGTGTGAAATGAGTGCAAAAGGAGCAGCCCTGCTCTAACAGACAAAAACAAAGCATTTGGAATCGGCGGAGTTTCGAAGTTACTGCAATACCTATTTATGTGTTGCATAAGCAGGCGGTGCTGTAATTCCTTAAGTCTTAATCATGTAATTGCCTTTTGTGAGAAAAACATTGCCAGTCAGTTCATTAACATTTTCCGCATTATTGCTTGTGTTCAATATTAGTGCAGGACTGCACACACGACTGAAAACCTCAGTGCCAGCTAGAGGGGAACCATCCTGAATGTCTAAATGATGTCATTTGTAGTTTCTAAAAACTCCAGGGCAGCCACTTGAAGTGGTTACCTCCATCCAGGGCTGCAGGGCTGTGTAGCTGGGGGGCTGTCTGCTGTCAACCTGATTTCCCTTGTGGCTGCTTTCAGAAACACCACAGCGCTTCCTTTTGCTGAAAGTTTTAAGAGCGATTTCCATGTAGATGCGAATAGAATCAGGTGAATAGCAACCTTAAGGGCTTGCCACTGATGTGTTTGAAGCATCTTCAGTGAATATGCAACTTTACTGTATAAGTGAGAAATATAGAAGCAGATCAGAATGTGAAGAAGACCATTGCGGGCAGAGAACTGCCGGTGCAGTAACCCATTGTGATGTTTAACACTATATTTCATGAATGATGCGACTTGCTCTTTAATGCAAAGCCACGCACTCTCTCACTGGCACTCAACTGGTGGGGTTGAGGGGGTTCAGCTGCTCCAGCTTGGACTGGTTGAAGCAGGTTGGGGGCGCACATTCAGAATCTGGGAGCATGGATCCCGGTCGGCATGGCAACCGCCGTGCGCAAGAGAAGAAATTGCACCAAAGTTTCCAGCTAGAAAGGAGTACCCTTTTCAAGCTGCCACTGGCTTTGTTCTTGTGAAAGCTTTGCCCAGTGCTGTCAGATGATTTTTTTTTTTTTGTTCCTCATCAGTATTTTTTTCTCTTACAGTGGGCAGAACGGGGTTGTCAACAATTTGTCTGCTCCTCAGGTGAGGATACTTTTTTCGCTTTGAGATCATTGTTAAAGGCCAAAACGAATATCATCCTGCTAGATCAGCTACACTTGAATGGATTAATTATAGTTGTGTTACTGTAATCCTTCAGGTCTTAATTATGTAATTTGCTATTGTGATAAAAACAAACTCCTATTTGTAGTTCATTCACATTTTCCACGTAAAGGGACTGAACTCTGCTTTAGGTCAAAGGTCAGACCCCCTGTCCTAAAACACTATGAAGCCATTCCCCTCTGCCTGCATACCAGCTTCCATGAAATTGCATTAGTTTAAAAAGAAACCCCAGCAGATCGTGTGTTTTTCTTTACCTGCAGGGGGCAACGCTGGAATGGCCGCGGCCTACTCTGCTCGGAAGCTGGGGGTCCCCGCGACCATCCTGGTGCCCACAAGCACACCCCCCTTCACAATCCAGAGGCTGAAGGATGAGGGGGCCTCCGTCACAGTGGTGGGGGAGGTGAGCATTGTCATACAGAGCCCAGCTTTCCAACAGTACAAAATGCACTCCACTTCTCCGACTCCACAAGAAATCCTTAACTAATCTTCTGTGAGGTCTGTAAAAAAAAATGCTTTTCAATTATACCCTGCCCCATGTCTACATCTTTAATTTTTGTAGCCTTTCTGAAATGGAGGGGCACTGATTTTTGTGGCTCAAAAGGCTTTTTGAATGACCTTTCATGTGGGTGTCACCAGGCTATTTTCAGTTCTCACTTTCTGTGCCTGAACAGATTGTCCCTAGATAGCGCCCTTCGTATAATTTTTACATTAAAAAGGAGAATATCCGGATTTTGTTGATAGAATGGTGTGCTAGTTATAGGTGGCCAGTTGTGGTTCTTGCTCTTATCCTCTGCAAACAGGATTGCCATTAAACGCCTGTCGTTTGCAGATGCTGGACGAGACCATCGAGCAGGCAGTGAAGCTGGCAGAGAACAACCCTGGCTGTGTCTATATCCCGCCCTTCGACAACCCGCTGATCTGGTGAGTGCAAGTGAAAGCCAGCCGGAAGACCAGAGAAACTCTCTCACTGAGACGGGAGTTTTGGCAGAGCCAGCCGTTTGTATCACTGGTCGGTTCTTCTCTCTCTCTCTCTGTGGTCCAGCTGAGTCGCGTCAAATTTCACAGGCGACCGAATCCTAATGACACTGTTATCTGCTCAGAGCAACGTTTCTTTAGAGGCTGCAGAAAATGTTGAGGTTTCAAACTATACCACACTTCTCTCTGGCAATTCTTATCAGTCTAGAATCCCGACCCCTTTCAGTGTGCAGACACTTCACAGACCATCACACTCTTCCTCCACACGCCACTGGCTGCTTTTTGCACCATAATCGACAGGAATGGAACATCGTAAGAGAGGAACGATCTAGACTGGGTGAACATTTACTGTACAGTGCACACGGCAGAAATGATGTGGCTCTTATCGGTAAGCCGGTTTGCGAAGGCCGGCGCCGTTTCCTCGAGACGGGTGACGCTCTCGTGCCCCCCCCAGGGAGGGCCACATGTCCCTCGTGGCGGAGCTGAAGGAGGCGATGGAGCGCCGCCCTGGGGCCATCGTGCTCTCCGTGGGCGGGGGCGGCCTGCTGTGCGGGGTGGTGCGCGGACTGCGGCACGTGGGCTGGGCGGACGTGCCCATCATCGCCATGGAAACCAGGGGGGCGCACAGCCTTCATGCTGCCGTGCAGGCGGGCGAGCTGGTGACGCTGCCCGAGATCACCAGGTACGTCAGAGGGCCGAGGCTTTTTTCACCGCCGTGCCTGTGCGCACACGTACTGCATACATGCACAAGCTGAGGCACGGAAGCAGAAATACGGGACCCAATGCCACTGCTTGTGTTTATACTGCCTCCCGGTACATCTTACATTCACGGGATTTTCATACTCATCTATGACGCACCTTGTCAGAAGGAGGTTAATGATCTGGGATTTAGTGAGGGCAGCCGCTTTAAAAACAAAAAAGATCACCATGTAGAATATTTAATATTTACAATTCAATACACCAAAAAGATTTGCTGGTTAAAGACTTTAATGTTCTACTGTAAAGCGTAGCGTGGCAGATTATCTAAGCTTGCAATGTTTTAATTATTTTAAGTTTTGACCAAGTTATCTAGTGTATAAGATACCAGAGCAGAAACAGTTTTGCAACTATCTTTTGATAAGATTTTGTCTACACTAACAACCATTTTCTTCTTGGCAAATTTTCTAGTAATTTTATGGAGATTTAAACTGAGAGAGAATTTGTCCGTAAGAATACTGTTCACAGTATCCCGCTCCCCTGGCTTTGAAGTGCTGCTGTGATTACAGGCTACATGTGATCCTTCCACACCGCCATGACTTTCTAGCAGACAGACACAGTAGAACTCCGCGCGCTAGTTTAACAGTGACCATCTTTCATTCTTCATGTCCTGTACTCTGGCAACTCTGTCCACTAAACGAGGAAGAACAAGTTTATAGCACATTATGCAAGTAGAACGCATTCGATTTTAGACCGTACACGTACGCACGGGTAGGGGAGAGTGGCTGCACTGTAACTCCTCTTCCTTGGTCACGCAGTGTGGCCAAGACTCTCGGAGCCAAGCGCGTGGCCGCGGAGACGCTCAGGCTGGTGTCGGAGCACCCTGTGTTCTCCGAGGTGGTGACGGACCGAGAGGCAGTGGTAGCCATTGAGCGTTTTGTGGGTGAGTGTCACAGGCTGAGCTGACAATACTGAGGTACTGTAGCTAAACTGGCACCATCACTAAAAAGCACGATGAGGACACCTGCAGCCGCCAGAAGCACTGACATTCTTAAAATGCTACCTGGCTCGTCAAAACATTTCACCTGTTTGACACACCTCATCTAAGTAACCTCTGGCACAGAGACACTGGCCACAAAACAGTGGGTAATAATCCTACGTTTGACTGACAGCTGGGAGATGTGACTTACTTCAGGTCCATGCACTTGATTCTTGGCAGCAGAAAGGGTTTTAAAAATGCACAGAAAATATGTGGATCAGAGCAAGATCCGAACCATGTATTGACACCAGACAGCGGCTTGCCTGACTCCCATAAGCGAAGGTTCGTGGGAGAGTCTGGGCTGATGGGATCTCTCTCTGCAGACGACGAGAAGATCCTTGTGGAGCCGGCCTGCGGCGCCGCCCTGGCGGCCGTCTACAACAACGTCATCGGCAAACTGCAAGAGGAAGGCAAGCTCTGCCGTGACCTGGGCCCCGTGGTGGTCATCGTCTGCGGGGGGAACAACATTACCCTGGGGCAGCTGCAAAGGCTGAAGGAGCAGCTGGGCATCCCCAACCTGACCGCGGCCTAATTCCCTCCCCACACCACTGCCACCTGCGGCCAGGGCAGGAAAGAAGAACTGCCGTCGGTACAGAGCCCTGAGCTGACAGCAGTGAAAGATGAGGAAAGGTGTCCGGAAAGAAAAACTGGAAAAATTCAAGCTTGGGGCCAAGTTAGTCCAGATTCGTGTGTTCGTCTGGATTGGACCATGCTGGATGTGCAGCCAAACATTAGACTGACATGATTTCTTTGTACATTTTCACCGATGCCGTCATTACCAAGACCATGCAGTCCTTGCGCCTTGGTAACGTTTACCTCTGATTTTAAATGTTAAGGCATCAGAGTTATAGATTTAGTTGGATCTGAATTCCTTTTAATTTTATACAGCTTATTATGTGTTTTATTATACTTTGATGATGCAAACATTGTACTTGACATTTTTGTACAATCTTGCTTTGTTAAATATTGTTTTTGAAAACTGTGCGAATGGTGTATTACACTCCCCTACTCATAAGTAATTGAATATTTAAGAAATAAAAACATGAGAATCTAATAATTAAAAAATCCTCCAAAGTCAATAAGAAGATTTTTTTTCTAAAAAAAGCTACAGGTATTGGATACACGAGACATTACTGACAATACAATGCAGGAATATTCTATTATATATAATTCTGTGTGACGATCACTTGAGATCCACCCTGCTTGATTAGATTGCCCAAAAATATGTGAAAAATGATGCAAGAACAGAGAAATTAAGTGACCAGACATACTGTAGCTTTATGTTCTGCTAGACTATGTAGTGAACAAGGTGAGGGTCAAACATTAGGAACACAGCTATCAAGGCCTGGGTCTCATTTGTTTTATAACTTAAAGGACAAAACTAAAAACAAAACTTCAATGATTTAAACTGTGAGGAAGCTGCCAAAACAATTAAACTTGCCACAGGAAGAGGTGATAAAAGAAATCGTTGGTTCCCAAAGGGTCAGTTGTAGGATTAGCAAGACACCAAGAACACCTCCCAGGAAAGAATGTTTTTCTAGTTTACAACACTTGACAACAAAATCAGCTTGTTATAGAAGGCAGAGCATTTGCAGACATAACAGAAATCACCACTGGCTGTTTCACATCAGTATTGCACCCCTGAAGAAGCACAGTGAGAGATTACAATGAGGATGTATTATTAGCGGATTACTGCATTATGCTTTAAATTTTGCAATGCACATCATACTTAACTGTTAAACACCACAGCTTAAGTTTGTTTACCAATTAATTTAAAACTTTCTGTGGGCTGATCATTTATTTGTCATTGTAATTAAAGCTTCTGCCTACAAGAACTGTATGTGAAATAACTGCCTCTGTTACTAACAATATCACTGTGTACTGCAGTGAAAACAATTTGACTGTTTTCCTAATTGGGTGCTCTCTGGGTTGTTGCCAGTTTAGGATTGTTTCCCTTCCAAATTGTGTGTCGGGAAATTTATTTAAAGGATACAGGAGTGTACAGGGGAAAAGTAATTAAAAAAATAAACTTAGCATATGTTCAAGTTACTACAAAAATATACAAGTGGGACAGTGTTTGCCAATGTTTTGTATAGACGAGACACTAGATTCAAATAAGCCACCTGTAAGCATTACATACTATTATGTAACACTTTGCAGTCCTGTCATGCATTCTGCTGCCCAGAGGCAAAGCATGATCCTGCATTCTCTACTTATAGCACAGCTACCGTGTCACACTGGACAAGAGGGATCCAGCTGAAACTGGCCATGCCCAGAGTGAGCCTGGCAGAATGTGTCCAGGCATTTCTGCACAGCCAGCCCTGAGCTCTCACGTTAGACACAGACAGCTGGGCCTAACGTGAGGAATTCACACTGATGCTGAAAGACAGACTGAGAACGGCTAAAGCAACTTCATGAAGCCAGATGGATTCACTCCATTTCTGAAGGATAAACATGAACTTGACTAATAAATGCAGTATGCAGACTTGGATAGAAATCTGATGGAGAAAATCAGAACATAAAAAAAAGGTTACGGATGAGAAGAGGTTATAAGGCTTAAATTTACTTGTCCAAGAGCCGTACAGTAGATCTGCTTTCTGTGATCTGGAATAGTATTTAGCTTAACATCACCTCCACTGTAAGAAATGAAACACATTTAATACAAGGGAGGCATGGTAGTGCAGCGGTTAGCATTGTGGCCTCGCAGCAGTGGGGCCCTGGGTTCAACCTGCTTGGAATTTGTATATTCTCCCTTGTGTTTGCATGCGTTTCCTTTGGACGTTACTCAAATGTTTGAAAGCAAACACCTTTTACCATTTACCTTATGCTCATAGATGTAATGTCAGGAATCTGGGCTTAACAATTGGGTGGTGTGTCACTCTGTGTATGTTAACTTCCTGACAAGAGCTGATGTAGAAACACGCATGACTGTTCAGGCTGGGCACCTAGACGACCTTGGCAGGGCCTGCTGAGCCACTCGGCTGAAAAGCAGGCTGAGCTCTGCAGTCACGGGTGCGAATCTGGATCACACCCTGCGGCCTCCCGGGTGCTTGCAGGCTTGTGCTGTTGCTCCTAAGGGGACTTTATACCAGAAATAATTGTCCATTTTAAATGTAAAAAAGAACTATAAAGAAGAGTAACTGGTAATAAACACAAGGTCAAATTATAAAAAAAACACAAAGTCACAATGCCTGTATTTCTGTAACAGGATTTTTAAAATAATTTAAGCCTGCATACATCATCAAAATGCCCTCTTTTTTTAGCCTTTTGTCACCTCTCTCTAGAAATGTCTGTTTTTTAACTTTTAAGAGCTTGCTATTCATTGCAGTGACAATCAGCTGTACGCCGATGGAACAGTGAACACGATTCTGGCAAAACCAGATATGAACATGCAACAGCAAAATGTATCATCAATATTTCTAATCAAAGAAGAAAAGCAACATGAGTGGAGGAAAACATTTGGCATCACCACTTTAACACATGAGCTGGCTGAGCAGAGAGGAGTTCCTGACTCGATTATCTCACTGTAAAGTGGCTGAACGCCAGGAGGGCTAAACGGGTTTGAGTAGTTCAGGTGGGGAGCTGCGTCAGCACGCGTAGGCTGCAAAGGAACATGTAACGGGTTTATTCCATGCTGAAAAAAAGAAGAAAACACATCGTTTCAGCCGTGGAGCCTTCTTCAGGTGTGTCACACCTGAAAAAGGCTCCACGGCTGAAACGTTGTGTTTCCTTTCTTCTTTTTTTCAGCATGGAATAAACCTATTACTTGTTCCTAAACAGGTTTGAAGTTTGAGGTCCACCAGAGTGTGGTCGAACCCTGGACCGACTGAGCCACCGGTGCAAAGGTCTGAAAGGTCCCCTTAAAAATATTTTTTTTTCTAACGTATTGGACCATAGGTGAGTTTTGATCAATTGAGTCATTTCATTGCTTTAATCGTTTCAATAATGGAGAACTGTGGCCCTTGAGAGGGGACCCAAGTGTGTTGGGGTTTAGCTTGACAAATGACTTGCTTCGGTGCACATCTGAATTTGTTTCACCCATAAAACTTGGCTCCCCAGGACCAGGGTTGACCACCCCTGCCTGAGTGCTGCCTTGGCATGCTGAGCAAGAGCACCCTCTGCACTCCAGCCCCCCTCTGCACTCCAGCGTGGGAGGGAAGCAGACAAAACGACACCAAACATTTCTGGTTATGAGTGTCTCTGAATGGGTGGTAGTGGGGGGGGGGGGTGGTCTAAAATAAGCTCAACAACGCCAGCTTTCTTTTGCAAGCCTCTAACAGCTATTACTGTACCTCTGGCGCTGTTCACCAAAAGTGATTTCTTTGCCACTGTGCTGCAGCTGGACCTGGGCAACCGCAGGCTCCCGGCCGACTGGCACTGAGCCTCATAGTGAGAGAGGAAAGGCAGGAGGCTGCACTTCCTCCTCCACCCCAGGCAGAAAGGCTGCTCTTGCTGTAAAGACAATTACGGATTACAAATGGGGAGGGTACACTATACAAAAAAATAACTGGTAATCCCAGATTTTCAAGTAAAAATGAACAAAATGAAAAGCAATGCAAAAACATCAAATGCAAAATAATTTGGCCTTGAGGACCTCTGGTATTTATGCACCATGTTCAAGGTCTATCAGGTTGAACCCCATCTCTTCTTCTAAGGCTATTTTCCAAGGCAACCCAAAGCTTATTTTTATAACTACTATGAGGAGAAGAATATAACAGTTGCAGCTTTTTTAGTGAATAAAGGGACATTCAGAAGGATTGCATTAAGACAAGCTTATTTTTATAACTACTATGAGGAGAAGAATATAACAGTTGCAGCTTTTTTAGTGAATAAAGGGACATTCAGAAGGATTGCATTAAGACAATTTATTAATGTGACACCGAAATCTTGGATTTTTTTGTCCTCTGTAGAATCCATTCAAACATCACTGTGTTAGATACAGATGCACACAGGGTAAACAGCAGAGTAAAAGTTAAGTTAATGCAACCATAAATAATTGTAATAAATATCAGGTAAATGTACAGCACACATAGTAACGCCTGTGTGTGGATATGCTTTTTAATCCTTAACCTGCCCTCTCTGAGAAAGAGCAGTCCCGTTAGCAGCAGTTAACTGTCACAGCTATCGCCTACCTTAAAAAAAACAAACAAAAACAATCAATTGGCATACACAACCTTGAACTCGCACAAGCAGGACCGTCGCCACTCTTTCCCACTTACACCGTGTCTGGAAACTCTCAAGGAAGTAACCTTATATACAAGCAATCATATTTCCACAGGGATGAGAATCAACACAGGAGCCCATTCGAGTAACAGGCTGTAAATGAAGATATACTAACAAGGAGAGAAAAAAACATTTCAAGGGGCATAAATCCAACAGCTGAATATCCAAGCGTATCTTTAAAGAAGTTTACAGCGTAAACCTTTAAATGAAAAATAAATAAAACATTCCCAAACAAAGCTGAACAGTAGTAAAAAAAACTGCTTGATTTGACATTTATTCTATTTACACTTTTCACAAAGTATTGTCTTTACACAGCTACAACATTTCCATCATGTGTAACAAAACGTTGAATTCATGCCTGCAAGAACAGGCCATCAACAAGCGGAAATCTATGCGTTAATCTTCTGATGTCACCGTGCATATGTAGATTGTGTATACCAATCACTCTGCAGCTGTTGACCTGACTCTCCATTCACGCTTATACACACGCCAAAAAAACAAAACCGCAAAAAGTAACAACAAATAGCACAACAGGGCGTCAGACACACCTCCCGTTGTTGCCCTGGACTTGCTGTGCTGCAACAGCAGCGTTCGCCCCCTGCAGCTCGGGTCCGAGTGCCGCATCAGCTCTGAACAATATCACCTCCATCGGTGACACTGCATCTGAAGGGAGCATTTATTTTTACATAGCTTTTATTTGTACAATAGATATATTCCCTCCTCTTTATAGATTTAAATAAATATATGTGCACTTTCAAGGCTTTTGAATAGGCTGGACCTTTTTTAAATTAATGGACGATTTCTGCATCTATTTATTCTGTAGCATACAGCGACTGCAACTGAGACGGCTTCACTGCCCTTCAGAATCCAGATGCCGCGTCTGCACTGGAGATCAGCAGCAACATCCGATATGAAGTATCCTGTAGCGGGCCCTGTCTCTTGGCGGGTATCAATATATGAAGGCTTTCGGAATTGAATAGCATCTCCTACTATTGGCAGCCTTCAGATTCCGCCTGGAGATCAGCAGACATGAGGACTAACTGTGCTGGAGGCAAGTTGACTCTACCGAAGGCTCACATCTCACTTCCTCTTTGTTCCACAGTCGGCAACTGTTCGTTCCTGATATCTGTCAGTGTTTGGCATTGGTTACTGCTATTAGAACAAAACGCACCTGCGGTCTACAATCATCACAATCATCACCTTGTTCTCTTTGGGGGAGAGGGGGAGCCACGTTGCACAGAGCTATGATGGAACTGAACAAGGCTTTGACTGGGGTTTTTCTGCAACCCCCCGCCCCCCCCCCCCAAAAAAAAAGCCACCTCGCCCAATTAAAGGCACAGGAATAACAAGGACCCTTCAATTCTAATTTAAATCTACTGATAGGTGTCCCACTGTCTTCTGTCAAAAGGATGCGATATGCAATGATACAACATGTCAACATGCCAGTGAAGTATAATTGATATAATCTGTCTTAATACTATCCGATCTCAAAAAGATCAGAGCAAATTAACCAACAGGAGAAGAAATCAGGCAATTCAAAAGCATCTATGTTGTTTATGGAGCTAAACAAAAAAGAGCACAAAAGCACTGTGTCCTTTAGCCGGTATTTCTATTTACGAACAACCTTTCACAAGCCCTCTGAGCCGGGCTCCTCTTTCTGCAAGAAGGTGAGTATCTTGGGAGAGGCCAGCTGGATGACCCCGAGGAAGCCCGAGAGAGCCTGGGTCTTCTCGCTGGTCGGGGGGCTGTGTGAAGGGCACCAGGGCTGGCAGGCAGGGCTCAGCCACTCAGGGGGTCTTCTCGGTAGTGAATGGCATAGCGCAGCTTTTCCAGCATCACTTCCAGGGAGGAATACTGCGGAAGCTTGATCATGAACATGCAGGTCTCCACTCTGATGTACCTGGAATCAGGGGAGCCTGAGGGGAAAAACACAGTGTGGGGGTTAATACAGAGAGGAATCAGACAGGCCGTTTCCAACCCCAAGGACATTGGCTTTACTCTTTCTTGTACAGACTGGTGCTTCACCTTTTATTACATTGAACAAAACTGTTCAATGTTTTGATGAAAGAGTACCAAAAAGAGCACCAGAAACAGACACAGAATAAATAACCGAAGAAGAAGACAATGTGCTGTTCGTTCATTAAGTGAAATAAACACTCTGGAGCCAAAGCATCAGAAAGCTAAGACATCTACATTTGTAGTCGCACAAACATAAATGGCTTCAATTTCTGAAATATGACACCTGCGGATTTTAGTTTTTGTAAATCATTACTACATATAAACCTTTCTGGAGCATTCTGTGTCAAACTGGACAGAAAGTGGCCCTTTCAGTGTTTGAAATCTCAAGAGCTGACATGCCTGCCCTGTTGGATCTCACTTGCCCAGTGCGAGCTGTGGCTCTCACCTGCAGCGCCGTCAGGCGGGGCGATCTTCATGGGGTAGGGGGGAACGTGGGCAGTGTCTGGACCGCCGTCCTTGCAGGGGCAGGTGAAGGGAATGCGTTCTTGGTTGCAGGCAAACTTGATGAACTTGCAGAGCTCCTCCTGGGTGAACATTTCCAGCGCCGTCCAGAAGAACTCAATGTGCTGGTCTGTCTCCATCAGACCCACCTGGTACATAGTGTGAGCCTAAAAGCACAGCAACAACGTACTGAGAAAAGGTGGGATTCACAGACATGACTGTGAACCAAGGCCCCGCTCACATGACATATCCCCATGATAGGACCCAAAAACATGGAATACTATCAGCAGCGTCACGGATATCAGGCATGCAGGGAGGAGGTGTAGTAGCAGCATGCTCTGTGGAGAGAATGCGATGCCAGGGTTACCTTGAGGAACTCCAGGTTGATGTAGGGCAGGCCGCAGGTCCTCAGCTCCATCTCCAGGGGAGTGAGCATGGTGAGGAGCTGCAGTGGGATGATGGAGTCCAGTCCGGCTCGCACCGCGGTCATGCACTGCGAGCTCTGCAGCTCTCGCATCCTCAGGCTCCTGATCGCAGATGCGTACATGTCTTTGTTCTCCCAGCTAGCACAAGCAGGAACAAACATCCCTGTTATAGCAGCTTTACCACTTTGAAGCCTGAACACATCACATCTGGAAGCTATATAAGGATGTATGTTAAACAATAATCAGATTGCTACTAGACATAGTTAACCAGTAGGTGGCACTTTCCCACAATGAATGAAAATTTAAAATCAACAAGAAGATAAATTTAGATCCTGCCTACAGTATAGAGACTAAATATTGCATTGCTAAAGAGCTAATTAGGCCCAGTTAGGGAAATGATGGCCTGTGGTCACAAATGGAAATGACTAGGATAAGCACTAAGGTCTGAAAACAGGAAGCTATTTTTGTTTTCAGAAGGGCACACTCACTCACCCGACAGTGATGTTCCTGCCCCCTGAACACAGCTCCACCTCATCCCCCATCATGGTGACATACGTGAATTTGCAGCACGGCTTGTTAGGAGACTCGGGGCTCTCGCTGGAGTGGTGCTGAGAGGTTATTTCTGCACACAAGGCATCCAGCTCTGCCTCATCGTTGACCTGGGAAAACAGTCCTACATGAAAACAGCTTACACAGGAGCTCCATGTCAAGCCATGGCATTTCGGAGGTGCACTGTGCACATTGCACTGTTCTTGCCATTGCTGTATTAGTTTGACTACCGCTTTATTAGAGTACTGGTTATTCTTAGCAAAAAAAGAACTCCCAAATTGTAATCACTGCTAAAGCAGATTAAACATGCACCTCATTTGTCATCACTAGTGCACTCCTTGTACTGTGAGGACCTGAGCTTCCTCTTCTATCCTGTCTTTATCTGGTACTTGCACTCTCTCTTCACAGGAAAAACAGAACTGTCTGCGCTGAGTGTACAGGCGGCACTTACGCTCTCAAATTTCTTGATGTAGTTGGACGTAAGCAGGTCAGCCTCCTGCAGGTCAGTGTCCTCGTCCAGGACCTCCCCCACTAAGCCCTTCCAGAAGGAGGGCAGCAGATCGAGAGGCAGTGGAACGTCTGCCCGAATGGCGATGCCCAGGAGCTGCCCGAAGAAGTGCAGGAGCTGCTCCTCTGCATAGGTGATGGGACTTGGCGTCAGGATATACTTGCCCTGAAAAACGGACCAGAGACAAAACCTCCGTCAGTACAACGATGGGCACAGAAACTGTGGGGATGAGTTGGTTAGTTATGATGCGGACGGAGCCTGGATCGTGTCACCCAGGGCTGATCTTGAACAAGGCTGTAGGGGAAAGGGCTGGGATTAGCAAACCAGAGTTGGCCTGGCTTTCAGCAAAACATTCCCAACAAAACAGTCAAAGCTGTCAAGACACCTAATACATGACTTAACTACTACAGAGTTTAACAGCCTCCTCTCATTTACACAAAGAAAATCTAGAAGTGAAAAACACAGCTGTAGGTGGGCGATTTCTGCCACTGTAAGAATCTATGGAGAAGTTATTGAACTCCAATAATTTTGTATGAAAGGCAGCAAAACTTAAAAAAAAAACTAGTTGGAAGTCAAAAGCCATAAGTGAAGAGAAGGGTTTATAAAGCATGTGACAGCTCGTTTTTTCATTTATTAACCTTAAAGCCAGACCTTCCTTGAGGGAAGAGGACGGTACCTTATTCCTATTGGCTGCTGAGCTGGGGCAGGGCAGCAGCAGGGAGAGGGCGGAGCTCTGCAGCTCTTTGCACACCTGCCACAGGAAGTGCCTGAAGGAGCCGCCTAATAGGAACACAACAAGCTTCACGTTAGACAGAGGCCACAGGCTGGACCCCAGGACAGCAGACAGCAGACAAAAGACCACAGCTGAGAAGAAACCAGGAAATGGTCTCCAGTCTTGCTCCTGGGAAGATCCCACCCAGACGGATTTCATGGTCACTTTTCACCAATATCTGAAGACTTGGAACTTGGAATTTAACTGTGATTAGTTGAGCATGCAATTTATTTAATGAAGCCATTCAGAGATTGTTTGTGACAATCTATACCTTTCGAGGAAGTGTTTCCCTAAATTAGAAAATTTCTTGCTGAATTGATCAATAATTTACAAATCATTAAAAACCGATGAATGTAACAAACTTCAACCCTACTGTACTGGGGCTCACCAAAACCAGGCCTGCAGACCTCCGCTCCCAATTTAAGATGAAGGAAGATAAAAACTGAACTTCATCAAATCATCACTGTCTTTCCTTAAACAGCGTAAACAAAAATGCTCTTGTTTTGTTTTGCTTGCGTTTTGCAGTGATCAAACTACATTCCAGCTGAAGAGTGTGTTTCAGTCCCATTCCTGGCACATTCCCCTCTGTGGAAATAAAAACAGGCACACCAGCGGGGCTGACTTACTGGTGCCGTGAACCTCCTCCCCGGTGAAGCGGATGTTGAAGGCGTAGGTGGGGTCGCCCCCGCTGGCCAGCTTGACACACAGCTGAGAGGACGGCACACAGGCCAGCTGCCGTGCCGCCTGACAGAAGTACGTGTTTTCAGAAGAACGGATCTCTCCTGTTGGTCAGATACACCAGCAACAAGTTAAAGACTTTCAGGGCAATTGAAATTTTGCAGACCGGGCGATCAGAGAGAGGGCAGAATGACAGTGGCAGGTGTTTAAAGCAAAGCTCACCTCCCACAATCTCCAGAGGGTCCAGTGTTATCTCGGGGGCAGCGTGGTCTGCTGTTCTCTGCACGGTGGCATTCAGCACTCGGTTCATTACAGCCACCTTCGTGTCATAAAACACCAAGCCTGCAGAAGGGGGTCAGGGAGCCCGTCAGCCAGCAGGCCTTGCTCAAGCTGCCTGCTGCTGGCTGATCATGCTGTAATGGCAAACTCTAAATGCTGGGGATCAGTGTTATGCTTCAGAGACACTTTGGAGAAAAATGCAATAGATTTAGTGGAATGTGAATTTATTTCCCCTAAGAATGAACGTCATTAAGGGGGAATACGTTTCAACAAGATCTTTAATCGCCTTTGTGAGAAGTATCAGGGATTTTTATGCCATAAAAAACAATGGAATAAGGGTGCGTTCAAGAGCCTAACAACCCACATTTTCTGTACAGTAACTATATAATGTGAGTGACTGTGGTTTCGTCTATCTCTACCCTGCACCTTTCACAGTACAAATGTTCAAAACTGATCAACAAATACTGATTATTATTCCTTAATAAAACAGGGACATTTCATATCACTGTATAAGCATGGGAAACAAAGAAAGGACAACAAACAGGACCTCCTATAGTCTGCATGATGAAAGTGCAACAAAATGATTTCTATTCACAAATAAACAAAACACATTTAAAGAAGAGTGAAATCATTCCTTAACACAGTATACTGGCAGCAAATAAGCAAAACGATGAGCACCAAAGAGACAAATAGTGGAAACAGCCTGTAATAAAGTCATCAGCTACTGACTAATTATGAAGTATCCCTGAAGAATAAAGGTCAATCGATCTATAAGATGAAGCTCAATAGACACCACAACTGAATTTGCAGCTCATAGTGTGATTACTCATCTATGTTGCCTTTTCTCTTCCATTAAGCATGGAATAAACCTCTATCTGCTCCTTTGCAGCTTACAGAGGCTGATGCAGCTCCCTACTTGAACTACATTTCAAAGCGCTTTCTTTATTCAAAAAACCACCTGATCACAACAGGCTGCAAAAAGCAGAATACAGTCTTTTTTTGTTTTGTATCACAGAACGTGACCACTGCGAATTCGCTACTGTGAATTCTCACCCTTGGCCTCCCTGAGCATTGAGGCAATGCTGTGCTGGTAGGTGTCTGTCGCTCGCAGCTCCACTAGGGGAAGGAAGAAGGTCTCCAGTGTGTTATTCAGGGACTGCAGCAGAGCAAAGCGCAGTCTCAGGCTTTCCATGGGAACATCTAGGAGGAGACAGAGGAGGAAGGTCAGTGACCAAGCACACAGAGAACCACGTGCACACCGAAAGTCACATTTAGGGTTTCTGTTGTTGTTCCGTGTTTATTTTTAAGCCCGCATTTATTTTTCAGTAATTTCAGGGGTTTTGCAGGCACAAAATTTGGATTTTTTAAATTTGATGTACATTTAATGGAAATAAAGGGTCCTCGCCATGTTCACCTTTGTTAATTGTCAGGCCTGCGTACCAGCTCTATGCCTTCAAAAATATCCAGTAAAATATTGTTTTTGGAGAATAAGCTAATGAGGTCAGAAATCCCGTTGTTGGAATTACATATTCTTTTAAGAAATGCTGCTTTCTTGGAATCTGTCCCTGCTTTTAAAAAATGTATACTGTATATATCAGTAGAAGTCTTACTTTTGTGAAAGCATGGTGACTATGTTTTAAATGGTTGGCCATTTTTATAAATTTCAGCAGGGCCCATGATGCAGATGGGTGCGTAATGAGGTGCTTTCAGCGCAAAGCCCACCGCTGTCCTGCAGGCCAGGGGCCAGGAAGGGGGGCAACCCGCTAGAGCAGGCGGGGTCATACTCAGCAGGCAGGAGACTCTCGGGTCGGCAGTATCGGCGGGGTCCAGGTAGACCTCGTGCGGGTGGAGGCGGGCTGGGGTGATGGCCAGGTGCCGACACAGCCTGTTCACGTACTGCACCAGCGCCACGTCCATCTCCAGACTCCACCTCCTGCAGGCCTTCTGGGCGTGGCGCGTGTCGATGCAGGTGCACCTGCAGAGGGGGCACACGCAGCACTCAGCACCGGCAGGACTGGCTTAGCAAAGGCACAGCTTTGGGAGATGAAGCTCCTGATATAATTTAACTAATAGGCAAAAAAAAAACAACCTATTAATGAAGCCCCTAAGCAGAAAGAAAAATGTTTTAAACTGTTTCTGTTAAAAACCAGAAACTTTTCAACTTCCTTCAAGCCCAACACCATTATTAATGAAAGTGGCAGCAGCCGAACATCTGAAACTGCTGAACTGGATGATATGCATTAATTCATATACAGTTATTGCTCTACATGGATTTTTTGTAATATGCTAGGAAAGAATTAACCTAAACTAGATTTTCCCCCAACCTTTCAAAGTGCAGGTCATAGCCGCAGGCCAGAATGGCTCTCCACACGCTGCGGATGTCCTGCTTGGCTCGGTCCACCGCAAACCTGTGGAACCCTTCCAGCGTCAAGTACTTTTCCTCTGGAACTGCAGAAGGAATGGGCCAGCACATTATACCACATGATACCTCCCCTACACACACACACTGCCTCACAGCCGAGCACGCACCTAGATCATTTAGTTCCACGATCTTAGTATGTAATTCCCCTGCCCTTATTTCGAGGGATAAAACATTTTTGTACCCTGATTCAGAACTCTACAGACATTTGAGCAAACTTATGACACTTACGTTGTCAAAAGACCTTGGGGGACTCTAAATCATTAGCTAGAGGCTGAAGACTAAGGAAAAGAAGAACAGCAGCCTGTGGTTTTAAAGTTGTTTGCTAGGGATCTCAGAGAAGCAGAGTTAGGACACGAGTCCACAGAAGAGAAGAGGTTTCACTCCGACACCACAGTAAGAGGGGCGGTAAATGACAGGCACCTTCTTGTTTCTTGGTAGGGGATTTCTCAGAGTCCTTCTCCTCAGGTCTGGACTTCTCTGGAGACTTAGGCTTGACGATCGGCTTTTTTTCACTGAGAGCCGTCCTGCTGGCAGCAGAGGAGAGGACACTATCAATGAAACCACATTGGAGCTTTAGCAGGGAAAAAAATACTTAATTTTTAAAGGTAAAATTGAAGAAGTCATCAGAAAAGGCTGCTTCCCATGACCTTCGTTATTGTGGAATTCATAAGCAGACAGATTTTTAAAAATGTTGTCATCTCAGAAATAGAGGGAGCAATTCATTAATGAAATCTTTAGAGTAACTCTCAGAGACCAAAGCTGGCTCTACAGAAAAAAATCTGACAGAAATTAGAATGACCACAATTCTCTGCTTAATTTACCAAAAGATCACACTTTTTTCACATATAAATAAAGATTTATGTTTTTGTACATAAAAATAAGCCAAAAAAACATTTTGAAAAGTGGAAAGAGTGAGTTTATTTGGCGCTGATTCACACACGTTTTATCTTTTTCCAGAAGACAAAAACAGTAACAAAGACATCCCGCACTGTCAGGTTTGCCAAAAGTCCTGTTTTAAGAAAGCTTGATGTGAAGTCAGTGCCAAGACCAGCACGGTCCACAGGCTCAGCAAGTCAAAGTGCCCTCTCCTAGACCGAAGAGAAGAGAACTGCGCAGATCCTGAGCTGTGTGTGGAAGACCTGGATTTCAAAGCACGTACCTGCTGAGCACCTCACCACAGCAGAAATCACCGCCCAGTTTAACATTTGCAATGCCAGAAAATGGTTTGTACATGGAGTAAAAATGCATGCTACCACATATTCACTCAACTGAAAGTTATGCGGAAACACACTGAGCCTCTCACTTACCTGACTGTGTTCAGCACAGACTTCTCCTTTGTAGGAGGCTTGGTGATGGGTCTCTTGGTGCTGACCACTTTGCCCTGATGCTGCTCCTTGCTGGCTTTGCTGTACTTGCTTTTGTTGGGTTTGGAGACTCCATACTTCCTAAGAATCTAGATACGAATAAATGTGTCGGAGCAAAAGGATTAGGTCATCTGCCTCCAATCCAGAGAGGTTTTGTCTGCAGAATTATTCATTTAACATTCTTAACATTAGCTTGCAACTAACTGCAGAACATTTTCAATTTATATTACAGTTTTCTTTGTATTCTAACTCAAATATTTCATTAGATGTATGATGGCAATTAAGTACATCTGGTTTATTTATGCCCACACTAACCTTGTCTGTTTTAGATTTCTACATGAATATATTCAATGTTACAAGCAGGCTATCATTTTACAAATTTACTTGAAATAGCTGTTTAAGCATTTAATGAAATGCCTAATACCCAAATTTGGAGATAATTTGCAATTATCTACAAATTATTATAAATTAAACCATAGTGTAACACACATTTCTGAGAATTCTACAATGTTCATCAATAGTATTGGAACCAACAGCATTTCTTAAGTCTGTATATATTTAAATTATTTATAAAATCATTATTTAAATTAACTTTATCTAGCTTTATGTAACATGATTGGGGAAATCAGTTAATTGACTGTGCGTATTGCATGTTTTGACTTATAATTCATGCTGTTGGCCATTGCTTTGTTTTTAATTTGAATTTACCAAGAAATGCAGACAAAAATGTGTTCGTTGAAATACACTGAAAATGGCAGAGTATTTCAAATTGATGTGTTTCAAACACATAAAACGCAGAACACTGTTTGGAATTTATATAAACAGCTTGTTTGTATTAGAGTACAATTTTAATTCATACTTATTAAAGATACTTCAGATACTTGAAGAATGTGGTCCACCTCTGTTTGGAACAATAACGTGCCCAAACTGCATCCTTCATCATGAAAGAATCATCATATTAAGAACACTCTAAAACATGTGCAGTCAATTGTAACAAAAAAGAACCAATATACTTTAAATTAACAGGCTTTCAAGTACTTCACAGACCTCCCATTATGGCCGCCATTTTGCAAAGTATGTTTTAACTTGCCTTTTTATGTAAGTTATGGGGAAATTCCACAATCTGCCCATAACACACACACAAAAGGCAAATGAAAGCCTTCTGACGTCTGGATGAAGTTCAGAAAGTGTTGTGGAGACGGCCTATTTTATGATGCATTCAGCCTGCACCAATATGAACGCGAAGATGGCTTATTCTTTAGATTGCATGATTGAAGGTTTAGTTAGAATTCTGGACACTAACACTATTCCGCATATCTCTGATGTGTAAATTCAGGTGCTGAGCACAGCAGGCAGCCCACTCCTCTACTCCTCTTACCCGGGAGGCGGTGGCCCACCAAGAGCCCATTGATGGCGTGTACCTGTGTGAGCTGGTCTTCCAGCACCTTCTTCGGCGGGCGCACGTTGGTGAAAAACACATGGAGTAAGTTCCCCGGGGTCTGGGCATTGATCTGCTCCTTGCTCAGGTAAATATCGGACACTTTGATGGGCTTGGCAGGGGTCAGACTCAGCATTTGCTCAGAGTGGACACAGCTTTTAAAGATGTCTGTCAAGACATCCCGAGCACCAGGCACCAACTTGTCTCCTGTTGGAGAACACAGAAGAGGTTCTAGATTAACAGGCTTAGATATGCCGCTTGCTAAAGATATTGCAATTATCATTTACTACTATTTACTGACCAATATCGACAGACTACTCATTTTAAATACTTTAAAAGGGATATAAAAACCCCTGTGGAAATTCAACATATACAGTATGTACTTGTCTTTTAAGTCAAGCGTGACTACAGCCTCGAAGTAAAGGCACGACCTTTGATGGACTTGTCCATGAAAAAGTCTTCCAGAGCGGAGCTGCCCTGCGTGTCGAACAGGCTCTGGTTCACACTGGAGGCTGTGAGGATCTCCTCATTAGTCATCTCCATCAGCTCCTCCTCCCCCTCGAGGCTGGACAGGCCAATCAGGTCGCTGCTGTTAAAGAGACTGGCACGGATCTTCTCCACCTTCGCTCGGGCGCGCACCTGCCACAAGGGTGTCACAGGGGTGAAACTACGGCTGGGGCTACAGAGCTCTGCTTTACAGGGGACTCCAGTACACCAGTTATCTCACTAGATGTTGTGTTACATTGGTGCTAAATTCCCTACACTGCAATACTTTGCACTCAAGTATTTAAATCGTATTCTTAAAGCACTGCATTTCTTCATTCTGTGGGGTGAGCTCCATCACAGTTAACAGGAAAACTGTCAAAACAGAAAGCCATGCCTGAAGGCATACGACGTACCTCAATGACAGCATACCCCTTGATGGGCCGAGCCATGACGGCATTGTTGTCCAGGGAGGTAACCGTGTACATAGAGCCCCCATCGGAGACAGAGGCAGTGTCCGCACTGTCCAGGGGTTCCCCCAGGCTGCCCAAGCTGCCCAGGCTGCCAGTGCTACACAGAGAGATGTCCAGGCTCTCCTGGCTGGACACAGTGTGTGGGTCCAGCGCTCCCTGCTGCTGCGGAACAGCCACAGGGGCAGGAGGCAGCTCCTGATCCACCGACAGCTCGCTGGCCGTGCGAGAAACTCCTTGAGAGGAGCTGCAGATGGAGGTCTGGCTGGTGGAAGCAGAGGCGCTGACGCTCATGGCTGGCGTGACGCTACTGGAGCTGTCAGGGCTATTGCTGCGAACTGGAAAGGGCCGCTCTGGCTCAGGGATCTTGCACTCCAGGGCAGCAGTGCCAACAGCACCACACTTGGGCTTCTTGGGGTCCTCCTCCTGAAGGGGAATGTAGATCTCGTCTTTGAAGAGCCCACCGTGGGCGTTGCAGGCCCTGCGTATGGCACTCCGCACCACGCTCTCCTCCAGGTGGGTAGGGATGCCCGATATGACCAGAAGACGACTGTGGGCAGTGGGCCCCACCAGAGCCTGACACGCATCAGTGACGGCATCGCTGGTGACCCCCAGACCCTGCGGGTCCTTGTTGGCCAGGTGCCGGAGGATCATGAGCAGGGTGAGGCCCCGATGGAACCACAACATGTCCTCCGGCTTTCCTCCACCCATATTGAGGAGGGCACTGTCACTTTCCGAAAGCCGAGACCCAGCGGAGGCGGAAGCCCTCTTCCCCGAGGCGGCAGCCACGGCGGCAGCCGTGCGCTCCCTTTTCATCTTGACCTTCTTGCGCTTGGAGAGCAGGCTGGGGCTCTGGGGCGTCTGCCCAGGAGAGGAGGAAGAGGAGGAGGAGGAGTCGCTGAGGTTGGGAGCACTGCTGGAGGACAGCGCGCCCACAGTGCTATTCCCCATGTTAATAGGCAGCGTCACCTCAGCCACGGCCAGGCACACCTCCATTAGGGCGTGGAAGTATGTGGAGAAGCGGCTCTGTTCATTCCCCAAGGCCAGCCCCCCTCCGGGAGAGGGGTTTCCTCCTGCTGCCACCCAGCCCTGGGTCTCCTTGTCGTAGAGCTTCCGCAGCTCTGTCTGCAAGGCCATCAGCACCGCCAGGCAGGGGTTCAGCAGCAGGGCAATGGAGCTGGACAGCCCCGTGGGCATCTTGCGCTGCTCCAGGTGATGGATCTTGCGAAAAAGTTCAGACAGCAAGTGGAAGATCAGCTCTTTGACGGAGGCGGCCAGGTCCGTGGTCCACAGCAGACCTCCTGAGATGCAGAAGGAGAAAGAGCGTGCGTCAAAGCATTGCACACTATGTGAAATGGGTGATCCATAAGGGATCTGCTAAATGAACAGACTGCTTCATTTCTTTATGCTTCTGTTATTCATAACCATTAGTGAATAAATGTACAATGCATTTATTAATTGCCACTTGTGTTGTAACACCACCATATTGGTAAGTCTCCATGATCTGTGTCGACCCGTTTTGAATATCCAGATGTGATCTATTTTGTAACCTGATTGTTGCAGTATCATTGCATGCAAGCATGCCCCACATTTCTAAAAATCAGCATAACTCAGGCTTAAATTTTTAGATATCTGAAGGGTTGTCTTAAAAACTCCATGAGTTTTGTATTTGAGCACAGATATCTCATATCTGACTTTTCACCCCTCGTTCTCTTGAATCTTTTTCTCACTGTTCTGTTCTCTATTAATTTTTGATGCATATTTGTATATAAATAAACCTGAAAAAATACCTAGCAGGTTTTTTGTGTAGTGTTGTGTTAATACAGTGTAGTGTTCTGTCAATGTATGCTGACATGCACCTGGTAGTACACTGGAAGTCAATTTAGCCAAAAAAAATTACAACTAGCATGGCAGTGGGAACAACAGTATCTATGTTATCAGAAAACTACAAAACATGATTCTGAGACAAAATGACATGCAAGGCAACATTTTATAGTAGCTACAGGAATTAGAAAAGTAACATCAGATAATTCACTGGGATGAAACCAAATACATATGGATCTTTAATCCTATCAACACACAGCCCTTTGGGTGCTGACATATTGTACACAGGTGCTGCACAGATGCACAGACTGGTTGTTTCTACACAATGGCTTCCCACTGGCTAGCAGGGTAACACCACTTACCAAGAAGCTCCACGACCTGCAGCAGCACAGAGGCCGGGATGGTGTCAAGCTCATCCTCTGATCGCCCGTTGCCCTCGCCAAGCTTCCATGTCAACAGCTGCTCTGCGAACGCCATGGCGAGGGGGAACTCCAGGGGCAGCGAGTGCAGTACCAGCACAGCACCAGGAGGGGGAGACACGCCTGTGAACAACAACAAAAACTCTCACAGCCAATCCATTAAACGCTGGGCCACTGTTGGGTCAGCGAGTTGTAAAGACAGAAAGAGTATTTTATAAACAGCTCAGACAGACAGTCCTGGCAGACTCTCACCTAGCTTAATGTGCACCTTGTCTGTAGGGATGATGGCGGAGGGGTACTGGTTGGTGGTGGGAGGTGGGGTGAGCCCCGTGTTTGAGGGGGAAGCGTCCAGGGGGTAGCAGACTGCTTCCATGAGGTTGAGCTGCCCATTGCGGCGCACTTTGTGTCCCAGGCCATAAATCATGACTCTTGCCCAGGGGGCCTTGTAAAGAGAAGAGCTGGAAAGAAACACAGAGAAGATTCAGGCCTGTTGTGTTAATCCTGTTATGTCAGACTTGACAAAATGTGGACTCGTGTTCCAAAACAGTTGAAAATGCTAATCATGCTTAGGGATCTCTCACATGAACAGAAAAGAACTGGAAATGTAACCAGACTTAAGATGCAGACCTACGATCACTGTTAGTGCCTAAGAACTTAACACAGCTACAGTATTTTATCAAAGATGCAAAAAACTTTTCACTACTTTGTAAAGAAAAACAAAATGCATATACTTTAGCATATCCTCAAAATTCTATAAAAGCACAAGAGAAAAGTGTAAGTGTTGTTAAGTGTTTGGCTAGAAATAAACCGTGATATAAAAATAGCAGAGGTCTCTGGATCCTTTACTGGCACAGCAGTGTGTTCACTCACTCTTTGCGGAAGCCTTGAGTGCTCTCCTTGCACGAGATCACCACAAACGCCGCCCCGGGAAAATTCACATCCATGCTGACCTTTGACTCGGAAACGGGAAACTCTTCGGAAGGAAACTGCTCTGGAGCATTCTGTAAACATTTAGGAATGTTAATAATAATTAATAATGGACTTTTTGCCACATGTTATACAATGGCAAATTAGCCCTTAATTACCGAATTAAAAAGTGGCAAACTATCATACATTGGTGTGAATATTCTTTGATGTATAGCACCATAAGCCATTTATGAAAGATGTTTTATAAAATGTAACTTTGTATTATTAAATGTATAAGCCTCACCATTGCCTTTGTAGTTGTGAACTGTATACATGATTAATTAGGACAATTTTGTGCCACGCAAACTATATCCTTTCTTTTTCATTTGGGTATTAAATTCTAACATGTCACTTGTAAGCAGCTCTGCTCTTTCTGTGCCTGGGCAGGAGACAGCACTCCTTGAGTTTAGACTCCAGATGACTGCTTGGGTGTTGCTCCACTATCAGTTTCGCCTGCACCACGGCCTGCTGCTCACAGTCATGTGCAGCACCATGAACATGCTGCCTGTCTTACCTGTAGGAAAGAGCAGATCTGCTTGGTGAGGTCTAGTAAGCTCTCCTCTCCTTGGTGCAGGGCCCGTGTGATGGCCACGGTGAGCCACTCTCTGATGGGCTGAGCGTTGCCTTGGTAGAAGAGGTCAGTGGGAGAGCAGTTCTGACCCTGTATGATGTGCTGCAGGGACTGGGCCAGCAGGATGGAGCTGGAGCTGATCGTCCCGTCTGCAGAATACAACTGCAATCAGCTGGAGGAGTGGAGGAGGTCTCCAAATCTTCAACAAGTTTTGAAGTCAGCTTCAAAACACTCAGTTCTCTCAGGTTGGTCTGCTTTCACTAAATCTAATTAAATGTATCAGCAGCTTTTTAAAGGAATTCTGAAAAACTGTTCTCTGCTTGTACTGAATTTAACAATGCCTTTTTTTTTAGAAATATTATTTTGCATAATCTGATTATTTTCATCTAATTTGCTGTAATATACAGGAAAGAATTATCTCTATCATCATACACATATTGCAGGCGATGCATTCTATAAAGAAACATAAGGATGTCTTTTGGGAGCTGGACAGAACAAATTCAACACTCATTTATGAGACGGAAATCTGAAACAGCCCAGGCGACACTGGGGTTGACAGGACATCACCTGGAAGAGGGGGAGCGAGCAGCTGATTGGACAGGAGCTGCAGGTGCTCCAGCGTGATGTCCCTGATGGCGGGGATGTGGAAGAGGCGGGTGAAGGTGTGCGGAGACTTGGGGGCGAAGATGTTGAGGAGAGCCATGCGACAGTACAGCCTGGCCAGGGCTCCCTCACAGCGCAGCAGCTCCCTGCAGGAACACGGGGGGCAGAGCGTGTGGGTCACTGCACTGCCCCTGCGCCTCTCCAGCGGGACACAAACGCTGGAGAACCTTAGATTCATACAACAGTCTGGGAACCAAGTGCAAATCAACCCACTTTTACTTTTACATATACATATATTTTAATTTGCAAATTTAAACTATAACAAGCTTATCTTTCACACAATGGCTCCGACAACCCACAAAATATTCTATCTTAATGTGATGACACACGTTTTCATATATTATTCCAGCACAGGTGAAGCCCTTCTACAGGTAATGGTGCTCCTGTGCTCCTGCCTCTGCACCAGTACTGTGACACGTGGGCTGGACGCTCGGTCCACACTTGCAGTCCTCGTGTCCAGTGGCCGGCAGCAGCCGTTACCTGTGGATCTGGATGTTGGTGCTGTCCAGAGTGACCAGCCCGTTGGCTGCTGTGCGCCTGGACCCGGCCGGTGGCCTCTCCAGCATGTCGATGGGATACCAGTAGCGCACCAGCACTCCTTCGCTGCGCAGGTACGTCTCCACCTGCACCAGCTCGTTCATCTAAAAAAGGCCCAGAAACGAGGAGAGTATTGGCTATCCCACCACTGGCCACTAAATGAAACAAAACATCAACGCCCTACTTCAAGACAAGCAATTTACGCTATAGGCTTACTGTATATTTTTCCACCAAAACATATATCACTGTAACACTTTGAATGCTTTAATGTCACAGACGTTTGACTGACATTAAGCCCCTCTTTTTATTTTTTTCAATAAATTTGGACTTTGGACTGCCGGAGCCTGGACGGCCACCGTACTGCTCAGAGCTTAGAGAGCCCTGGCTGACAGACAGCACCCTGCCCCCAATGCCACTTGTGCGCCATTGCTTGTGCAATCCAGTCATAGTCGGCTAGTGACATGATCCAGGCTTGAGCCCGTGATCAGAGTCAGAGGGCTCTATGTTTTTAACAAGTTTTAAACTATTGTTGCTTATATAGTTACTTAATTTTGAATTTGTAATTGTCTTGAATGAAACTTGCAACCTATGGGCCAAACGGCCTCCTCTCATGGGTTTTGTACTTACTGAGTCAACATCAAGGACCACTCCATGGAGCCCGAAGGTCTTTAACATCCCTCTGATGGCGAATTTCGGCAATGCTGTTCCTCCAGTGGTGCTATTGGTGTTGTTGCTGTCTGGACAGCGGATTACCACTGTCAGCCCTAGGAAGGGGGAACAATCAACTGTATTTTTCAGTATGTCATTATCTGGATGGATCTAGTGATGCGATGAGGGTAACAATAAAACAAACTGGGTAATACTGGTCTTTATATGAGCAGCCTGACTTCCTGTACAATTTTACACCATTGTGGGACTATGGGTTTGAATTTCTGAAAAGGTTGTTTACGTTCTCCTGAGAAAGCTGGACTGGATGCTCTTTTGCATCTACATGCCAGGAGTGATCTTTACCTTTACGAACTTTATCAATAGTGAATTTGTTGGCCTCATCTTTGATGTCTTCAATGGTGGGGAGGTACAGGTCTCTTGGAATCCCACCATTCTCCTCATAGAGAAACTCCACGGTCTGCCGAGCAATGTCCACCATACCTGCAGAGGATTTACAGACATCATGCCAACCACCCTTCCACCACACAAGTCTGATAAATTACAGACTGCTTTCAAGCCACTTTTATTTCAGCAAATACATCTGTTCATTTAGCAGACACGTGCACCCAAACTGTCTTACAATTGCATCCAGCCAAGATGTATATAAGTGTGCATACAACAGCACCATAAAACAATAAAACCACAGAAAACAGCAATCTCAACCTTAAGTAAGCAGGAGGATGTTGTCCAGTGTGATGGGTTTTTTAGTGCTGCCTGACAGACAGGGAGGAACAACATGGGGCACAGTCAGTAAGTGGGGTCAGTCATGGGCCTTTGGGGTTAAGTATGACTTGAAGAGATGAGTTTTCAGTTTCTCAGAGGTTGGTGAGTGAGTCTCTGGCTCTGACTGTGGCAGGTAGGTCATTCCTCCACAGTGGGCCAGCAGAAGAGACCTTTGACTTGCAGCCCTGCAGTATCAGCATTACCAGTCGGCCTGAGACACCAGCTCTCGGTGTCCTGGCAGTGGTCTGCAGGAATGCTGGTGCAGTCCAAATGGAAGCCCTGTAGGCTTGCACCAGTGTTTGGAATCGGATATAGGTCAATGTGGGGGATATATCTAAATACTAAATTGTGGACACCATGATATGTTGTTTACCCTCATGTTAATCACCATGTCTAAGTCTTAAAATTGAGATGACTTCTAACTCAAAATATGTCTGTCTGCTCACTGGCGCCATGAGTAAAATTAGCTGTTTTTGCACCATGGGATAGCTGGCATAAAGACAAAGACACAAGATGGCATCCAGACAGTATAATAGTGATTATTGACAGATAAGTCACTGCTGATCATAACATGAAGAACGCATAACTCTTTGGTCGGTCCAAGCCCTGCATGGTGGCACACAGCAAACTCAAAGGCTCAAACAGACAGCTGTGCCTGAGCTCACCAAGCTGCAGCGCTCCTTTGATTTGATCCAGACCGGACTTCCTCTCGGCTTCGTTGCGGAATCGCCTGCGAATGGTTGGAAAGACCTTGGTCTCCCAGGCCTTGACTAGTAGGGCGTAGTGGTCCTCCTGCAAGAGACAGGCCTGTTTAGTTTCTTTCCACCTGGGACAGAAATATGCGGGTTTTACATGCAGGTACAGTAGCAAAAACAAACTAAACACACAAAATAAGAAGCACTGATAGAAGAGGCTACTTTATGCCGACACATCATTTACATCTTTTAGACAAGATGGGGAAGCAAGTAAAAAGGTAAACAAAATGATATATTGTTGGAAGCAAGTGATGTTATGTTCAAATAATGTATAAGTCAGGCTCATTCAGAATACTGTATACAAGTTTGGTCAGTACTTCCCAGAAAAATTGCTGCGCTGAATCAGTCCAGAGAAGAACAACCAGACACAGTCCAACACTGACTGGCTGAATGACCTGGACCTTTTAAAACTTCAACAGAGAAGATAACGAAGGGGCCCAGTCAAAATCCTTTTGTAACGTGGCATCCAAACTCCACACCACCACTGGTGCACCACATTTATTACGGCTAGCCCCCGAGAGTCACTCACCCTCGGGATATCGTCATCTTCGTCATCGTCGCTTTCGTCGTCGGCGATGGGAGGGGGGTGGGGGTCCGGCCCCGAGGTGATGAGGTTCTCGTAGCTCAGCTCCAGCTTGTAGTGGCAGGAGTCGCCACTGTTGTACTCTGCAGGACAGGAGACAGGGTCAGCCTTTCACAGACTTCCACAGATAGCAGGCAGAGGGCACACAGAAATGCTGACACACACCGGCCAACTTTAAGCTGCTCCCCCTTGATGAGGGAGTTTTTTAGTTTCCAAACTAAATCAATAATCAATGACTTCTGGATATGTTCGGACTACACTGGTTGTAGTTTTAACTCTGGTACCGCTTCACATCTGGAAGCAGCAGGATGTCAGTGTGGTTGCCCAGGGATGGCAGACAGGGCATAGACTGTTACATCACATCAACTGCAAACGCTCTTCACAGCGTAACAGACTGACTATCGACTTACCCTCACTTCAGATAACGAACAACACAATGATATACCCACAGAGATTTGTCATATTCTGCTCTGAACTGTTCTGTACTTCTAACACCCGAAAGAACCCCTAGGTTTTCAGAAGTTATCAAAACGTGGAACAGACGTTGCAGGGCAGTGGCGACCGCGGCGATCCTGCAGGGCGGTCCGTGTGACCCCGGGTCCGATGCCACGCTGGCGCCGGCGTCGTTGTCGCTGTCGGAGGCCATCGCAAAGGGCAGCGCCTCGAAGTTGGCACTGATCTCCTCGGCCAGGTCAATGCACATGTCCGCCGCGTTCCGATGCGCCTGGCCCTCCGCGAACGCGAATGGGCGGCACCCGAAGTTGGCGCGGATTTTGGTGTTCTGGAGCAGAAGAAATAATCTTTTTTACAATTAAAAAAACATATGAAAACATGAAAGTGTGTATAAGAACCAGGAAAGAGGTTAATGTGACTCCTTTACCCCCCCAACTCACTCCTACAGTGAAATATGACATTGTGCCGTTTGACTCCTTCCAGTCCGGAGCGGTGGAGTTTGCTGCACGTCAGAAGATGAGCGCCAGTAGGCGAGCCAGAGGGTAACGCAAACAACTGGCGATTCCATGTTGGGTGGCTGTATAATAAAATCCTAAATTATCAGCGTGGATTTATGATGTACAACCGTTGTGCCATATCTGATTCCCATTACATAGAACTGCACTCTGAGCTCCAACACCGCAACTCTGGTGAACAGGCTAGAAAACAACATTAACGATAGGATCTTCCTCAGCTGCAACTACCGCCACCCCGAGCAGTTCTGAAATTACCCCATGCAATTATTTTCCTACAGCTGGTCGTGGAAGCGAACGAAAGTGAACAGATGAGACAACAGGACGTCAGACTTCCAGCGCTCCGGAGTACTTCCTGAGCAGCCAGGCATGCCCCGTCACCAACCTTCTTCTGAATGTGTACCAGCGGCCACATGCCCCCGGACACGTCCTCCAGGAAGGGGGCCAGGCGCTGACCGCAGTAGGTGAAGTAGACCCTGCCCTTGGCGGCCTGCCCCGGGGGAGGGGGTGTCCCTTCAGAGCGCTCCCAGCCAATCCCTGCAACGTCACCTGAGGGGAGAGGCCGACCGTCAGACCACCCCCTTCCCCCTGGAGAGCACATTTCTGAAACAAACGTTTCTTTGGATCCCAAGCCGAGAGCCCCTTACTTTCACACCTTACTTTCAACTGCTGACGCCTATTCCAGTTTCAGTGAGAACTGAGAAACCGAACCTGCACTGAAGCACCAAAAGGAAAAACGGCAGAGCTTCTTACCAGGGACAAGAGCCACATCCAGCCTCACGCTTTTCCACTGGAGCAGGCTGGAGCCATTGTAGTGCACCGCCCTTCCATTGCTGCAACAGAGCAACAGATACCGCCATGATGACAAGTGCCTGCCCACAGCCACTGGGTTTTTAACAGTCAGTCAAAACCCAGAGCAGATTCGAACTTTTCCCATCAGATCTAAGTTCAAGAAAGACGCCTCTGGTGTCTACTTCGCACTAATTCACATCGGCACCCACTTGTGGAAAAGGCAGGTGCCCACGGGATTTGTCCAGGCGCCATCTCTCTTCTCAGCTTCGGTAGCAAAGCCAAAGGACACAATGGGTCCGCTGTCGTCATCTGAATCTCCATAGGAAACGATCTCGATCTCCCAGTAGAAAGAAGGAGCCTGGCAGGATACAAGCAGACAAGCACCACAGCTGAGCCAGAGCTTGCCTGCAAGTGGTCAAGTCCCCTCCCCCTGTTCCAAGCTAAAGCTGGGCACCTTCAAGTCAGGGCCTGCTGCTCACCTGAACGGGGACGGGGGAGGTGGCGTAGATGAAGGTGCCGCGGGGAAGACCCCCTCCGGCGCTGGGGTCAGCCAGGAAAGTGACGGAGGTCAGGCGAGAGGAGAACATGCAGGCGCGCACCGGGGGGAACACGCGAGATGGGCTCCACGTGATCTCCTTGGGCTGCGAAGACACCAGACAGGGAAATCTGGACATGTCCACAACGGCAGCACACCTGCAGTTCTCTACATGCCTCTTGAGCATCCGTAAAACCGAGCTGTTTTTTTTAAAACTCTTTTCATTAACAGTAATATTCTCATAATTGACCGGGTGGGAATCAGTGAAGACAACACTGAGATGGTCCGCCCCTTGTTTGGAATAGGACGAATTACTTCTAAAGTGTTGAACAAAAACTCTGTTTCTTAATGAGACTGACCTTATCTACTTGTTTGTATGGACTGGTCAGAAGTGTGGGGTCGCTACGACAATCACACAGGAACAAAACCACAAGAATCAGCACCCACTTCCCTTTTAAAATATCTGGGATTATTGTCAAATTCAGCACATGCTGTTATATAACTTTGATTATATGTTTTGGTGCAGCATGTACATGCACAAAGTCAGGGCAGCAAACAAACTTGTGAAAACAGGAAAGCAGTAAGCGCCCTAAGGAATTAATAGGTAAAATGCAATAAATGAAATGCATAAAAATGAAATTAAATATTGATCAAATCAATTTGTAACATTTGGTTGAATACATAAACCATAGATTAGAAAATTCATCTTATGCATTTTTAAAAAGCATGCAGAGCACGATCTGGGTACAGAACAGTCTTCAAGATACTGTACTTCCGTATGACTGAAATATAATTGCATTGCCTCAAGTGACTTCGCAAGCACACCAGAAAAAAAAAGTAGATGCTGTTGTGCTTTTAAGAATGATATTCCTTCACTTCTACAAAGTGTCCAAACCACACTGGCTAATCAGGCCAGAGCTTTTCCTGATTTCTGTGGGCTTGAGTGGACTACAGTGGCCTCCTCTGCTGATCCAGTGCAGGGGTGAACCCCAAGCAATGCAGGGCTCCACTTACAGAACTGGGAGAGCTGGAGCAAACAGTACAGCACCTCATTCAAGGTACAATAGCGGGGGCTTGAACCCAAGACCCAAGTTATGAGACCAGAATGCCGCCACTATGGTCCAATGCCCTCCCATACCCATCCGCCGCATATTCTGTACAGTCTGAACAAATGAGTAGAATATCTGGGATCTTTATCTTGGTCAGGGTAAGTACTTTTTACGGATCCTTCTCCAGGATAGTGGATGTCAAAATGCATTGCATGTATTTTAAGAAAACGAGTTTTATTTGAATACGTGTCAACCCGAGCCCGCGGTGAAATGCAGGTTCCTCTCACCTGCGTCCTGTCGGTCTGAAGAGGAGGAGGAGGGGGGCGTGCGCAGTCACGATACAGCATCCGGACTCTCTCACACTGAGCCTCCACCACACTCAGCCTCTCTCCTGGGAATCGAACAACTGCTCAGTTACTGGTTATTACCCCCTCTCTGCCAGCCTGTCTTTACACAAATCTAGATATGTCATGAAAAATGAAACCAGAGCACACTGTACTGATAAGCCCCTGTAACGGCAGAACTGGTCTGTAGTTGCTAAATCACTTGACAGCTTGTTTATCTATATGGGCTACCAAAAAAATGTTCACTTCCGTGGTTTTAATTTTCATTTAACTGTGCCTCAACGTGAGCACAGATACCTACCAAGCAGAAGTGAATACTGCAGGTGAGTTACACAATTACAGTAAGCAGCTACTTACAATCTGCAACTCTGCAGGCACCTTGTGGCCTTCTCTTTGTGGAGAAAAAAGACACTAACAGTGAGGAACCAGGGTGGGGGACAGTGCTGGGTGCGCGGAGAGAGAGAGAGGGGCCGTGTTCTGTCTGCGCTCTGCGGGTGACGCTCACCTGGGCTGCACTCCTGGGCCACGAGGTTGAGCACCTCCACTGCAGCGGGGCACTGTTGGATAAACTCCTCGCAGAAGGAGCTGTCCTCCAGGAGCTGCGCCATCACCAGACAGGCCCTGGGGCACGCAGAACAGAGAGCGTGAGGGCCGGTCAGGCGACATTTAATCAAGAGATGACAGCGGCAAATTAAAAATGTCACTATCCGAGCGCCAGCAAAGAAACATTTGTTTTATTTTAGGAACAATATCAAACAATCTGTGGATTAAAGGAGCCCTGTGCCTGGACTAACAGCACACAGTTACAATGGTCAATGTTTTGACCAACTGCAACTAGCTCTACTGTTCTGAGGGAGAACTCACCTGGTTCTGATCTCCGCCAGGAGGCGAACAGCAGCCATGACAGGGCTGGAGCCGTCACCCGAGGCAGGCAGGGAGGTGTGAATCGACAGGCTGCCCTCCTGTGGCAGCAGCATGGACTGCACCGCCTGAACCACCTTCTCTGTGATGGACAGCTTGTACAATGGCAGAGCCTACAAGAGCACACACCAACATCATTTACAGGAGCCGGGGGGGGTCACACCTCCTAGTTTAAATGTGCAACCTTCAAGACCTTTTCATTTTCAATTTTAGAATGGCCGTTCCATCTGACACACTGCAAGTTCAACAGAGATGCACAGGAGATTCAGAGCTGTCTGGAAGAGTCCCTCGCTGATGTCACTGACAGCCTGCAGGGGGTGCTGTTTCTCTGCACGCCTTTTCATGAGAAAATCAGTCTGAAATACTGTGAACCTTTTGAAAAGTAGGAATGTTATTTACAATGGAACATTCCCGTGCAGAAACAGCTCTACGTTGCACTTCCTGGAAGCATGCAGACGAGAATCACCTCTGATCGGGGGGTGCAGAGACGGGATATTGGGACAGTCAGAACGTCGGAGGCCTTGCAGTCCTTCCTGTAGTCCGAGGAGGGGAACTTCACGGTGGCGATGCCTTCCTGCTCGTTGATGGACATTACAACACCTACGCTGCCCAGGATGCCCTTGCCCACCACCTGTGGGACAGCAGGAAAATAGGCCGAGCCAGGGAGTGGCTTGTCACTCATTGCTTTTACTAATGACTGAAATTCAAAAACATGGATGAGCCGAGGAATGATTTTTTTACATTCCTTTGCAGATTTGATAATTAATGAAGCTTTGAACCAATGCATTAAGTATTAAAGAATAACTCATCATAAAGTAATAAAACTATGTACGCTAAACCAGAAATGTTCATTTTGTTCCCCACTGCAGTCCTAAAAAATAAATTCTAAAGGATTTATTTCAGCAGTTTAGAAAACATGCGCAACCTGCATGCTGTGGTAAATCAATGTTGATTAAACATTAAACCATGTTGTCTTAAACCTCCAAGACGTAAGTGGCGCAGCTGCTCGATCTCACCTGGACTTCCGACCCAATCTTGATGGTCTCCTTGAATCCTCCCAGGGCGCACAGAGCCGCCACAGCCTGGCGAGCCGTGGCCTGCAGCCTGGCCAGCTTCCGGCCGCTGCTGCTGCCGTTCTCCAGGATGCTCTCCGCATACTTTCCCAGCTGGGGGATGTACATCAGAGCCCGAGAGAGCACCTGTCGACAGCACAGACACACGCTAGGTCCACTGCAGCGGCACCGGCACCAGTTGGCAGCTACGCGTTTGTTGAACATTCCCAATACACAATGAGGAGCAATAGAAAAGAGGCCACAGTGTGCCTCTTGCACACCGCTCGACCAGTTGCTGGTCACTCAGAAACCATCAGGAAAGGCCCTGGGATTTTGACCACAGAGAGTCAAGACCTCGGTTTTACGTCTCATCCGAAGGATGGCGCCTGTTTACAGTATAGTGTCCCCGTCACTATACTGGGGCATTAGGACCCACATGGACCGCAGGGTAAGCACCCCCTTCTGGCCCCACTAACAACCCAGCAGCAACCTTAGTTTTTCCCAGGAGGTCTCTCATGCAGGTACTGACCAGGCTCACACCTGCTTAGCTTCAGTGGGTTGCCAGTTGTGAGTTGCAGAGTGATATGGCTGCTGGGTATGACTGATGGGACATAAGGATTAAATGGGTAGGAGAGTTACATTTTAAGGAAAGGTACTATAGAATGTCTGGAAATAGATTCCACAATTCATCCATTAGTAACCCATGCACACTGTTTTTCATTAATTGTGTGACTGTTTTGAACTCGACAACGACATGCCATTCAGCTGGTGATGACCTTTTCAGCAGTGCTTGTCCAGATCTGGGCGGTGTTGGACTCTGGCGCTGTGAGGAGCCCGTGCAGTAGGGCGATCACCTCCGCCGCCATGCTGTTGGCCACATGGCCGCTGATGAAGGGTCTGACTGGATCCGACCTGCAGAGAGCAAGGCCTCTTTCACACGTGGAAAAATAAAGGTAGCAGTCATGTGCCTCTGTCCTAGAACAGCTAGTCCACAGTTCAAGTGTTTTACAAAACCGCAAATGGGAGTGTCCTCACAGAAGAACAGGCAGAACACTTGGCAGACAATTGTAAAGAAACGCAATAAAATGAAACTTGGAAAACCAGCTTGATGATTAAATGTCTGGTTATGGAATGGAAATGCATTTTACAAATTAAGTTTTACCAGGCCCTGTCTTTTGAGCCCTTTCTCACCTTGCCAGTTCTGTGTTTCTCTCTCTGCAAATAGCAGTCTGGGCTGTTTTCTTCTTGTCCCCAGTGGACAGGCCGCTGGCGTTCTCCTGGCTGAGGGTCTCCACGGGCGGCCCCACGCTGACTATCAGCCCCGACTGTGCCCACTTGGTGGCCTTGCGCAGGGCTGCTGCTGCCTCCTCTGTGATGACCTCACAGTGACCACTCTACAACACAGAGCCATGAGAGCACTGCTAGACAAGCTCGCAGATGGGACCCCTGCTGGAATGCTTTTTTGGTGCCTGAAGCAAAACAAGTACTAGGGGACATCCTTAAGGGTTTGCCTGTAGTGCATCTCTGAGGCTCTTGTTAAAACTGTTTAATTGCAACATAGAAAAAATTTGACTTTTGGTCAACAAATTGGTCAACACTAGGCAGATCTGAAAATGTTAGATTAAATATGGATTTTGGGCAAAGGGTGGCATCATAACGATCACCTCCTCCCCTGCTTTTCTGTGATGGTCTACCTTGTATGTTCCCTTACACGTCTCCAAAATGTATAAAAAAGACTTTAAATTCCCTAATAAAAATAAGTAGAAAACATAGACGAAGAACTTAAGTACAAATCTTTAAAAAGTACAACAGAACTCATTTAGGAAAATTTATTTTTGATTTTCATGTTACTACAGGTTTATAATTGATATTTTTTTCAGTCAGAATATTATAATGTACAGTCTCTGACTCATTGCATTGAGAAGAGGTGCAATCATCGGTACTATCTGCAGCCCTAGGACCTGCTGTCTGCCTGTGCCCTGCTCACCTTGGTCATGTCCCTGTCCATCTTCACCACTTTCTCCATGTTGGCCCCTGTGCCCAGGCGGAAGGGCCGGCCCTCTGAGCTACTGCAGAGCAGCATGGGACAGAAAAAGAAAAACATAGGCTGAGACTTTGAAAACACACACTGAGCGTTCTCAAACCACTGCAGGACTGGTGAAAGTTACACATACCTCCCAAGCCAAAAAGTTCCCCTCATCATTTTGAGAGTACTTTAACAGGTTGCAAAATTTAATTAATGCAACTGTTTCGAAACCGAAATTGATATTTTTGGGTAACTACAGTGAAACACTGTGACTCCCCTCACTGGACAAGGATGATATGAATAAAATTACAGTATCTTGTTTAAACAGCTAATCCTGGATACAAAGGTGCACTTACTGGAAGCACACTATTTGACCTCTAAGCAGTAGTTCTCCCAAAAGGGAGGCCAACCGCTAGTCAAAGGAGTTCACAGACAGGTTAAGAAAAAAAAACCCAATAAAACTGACCGTTTTTGCGTGAAATTTTTATCATCCAGAATAGACTAAGCACTGCTGCCTTAAATTACATACATAGTGTAAATGAATGAATGTCAATAAAGCAATTAAAGCATTGAGCAAAGAAATTAAAGAATGGTCTGATATACAAGTAGTTAGCTTTTGGTTGACTGAATTAAAGGCTAGGAATAATCATATTACTTTATGTAATCAAAGGGGAGGTAGAAGTTCTTACAAATTACTTAGCTGGGATGACTTAAGCACGTTATCTTAATCATGGAACCGCATTTCCATAGAATAATGAGGTGTTAAGGAAACACTTTTTTCTTTTCAGACCCCATTGCATGAAATAGGTGTGTACAAAAATACAAACTCGTACTGTCCAAAAGTAAACCCATACTTTCATATTTAACAGAAAAAAGCATAGGATCCAAGTGATAAATTGACTGCTTGCACTGTTTTTCATCTCAAAGCAGTTCACCTACAGAAGGGGACACTTCACAATGGCTTAGACTGCAGTGAGGGTGACTTGGCACAGTTATCTCCGCTGTGGTGGAAGTGTAACTCTACTGCTTGCACTGCTGGAGACTCCAAGGCCTCTCTGGGCCCACAGACTCCCTACCTGAGCAGCGGCTGCAGCACCTCATGGGAAGACTGGTCTTCCCGCTTGTGGATGAAGATGGACAGCTTGCCGTCCACGGCCTCGCCCTCCTCCCCCGCGTCCTTCTCCACCTTCAGGGAGCTCTTCGGGCTGGCGCGCGTCAGGCTGGTGTCGGGCTCTGAAGAGCTGGGCGACAGCAGCGTCTGGCAGCCTTCGCAACGAAAACCGAATTACACACCGCAACTGCGGCAAGGGCCAGGTGAACAGCAGCAGGCCTGCCGGCACGTCCACCGTGGGGAACAAGGCTGACAAAGAAGCGGTTTCTGCTCACTCTGAGTGCTGCACCTTTTAGAAAACATACTAGACTGTGGAAAAACGAGTGTGTGTCTGAACAGCAGTCTTGTGAAAACATCTAAAGATCGCACGTAGAATTAAGTAACCACTTTGCCAGAAGCTGCAGACGACAAAAACAAAAAAAAGTGCCTCAATGGTAACCTTTGACCGCCAAGTATCAGTACCAAAGTTTAGTTCCAACCCAATTATAATCATCAGCTGAATATTGTTTTTGCCAACTCCATAACACGCCTTGTGTTAATTTCACCTTAGATTTCTCCAAGTTCAAGTTTTGGTTGCACAGAACACATCAACTTACAAGATGAACTTAAACGGGTTAAGAGCACAAAACGCATAAAGAATACTTTAGGTGCTGCCTTACTACGTAAGGAGATCCTGGTCCACACAACAGTGCCGTCGCAAGCGAAGCTAACATTATTAGGGATTTAATTGTAATACTATGTAGCTCAAGTCAATGCAGCTAAAGGCATTTGTCATCACTTTGGATCTGTGCATTTCAAAACCAGACATATGGTGAAACTGCGTAAGATACCAGGATTCTTTGCTTCTCATTTTAGCATAAGCTAAGGCGTCTCCCCACCTGGCACCACGTAGTCCGCCAACTTGGCCAGCAGCAGGGACGCGATTTTGGAGGCCGGATCGCTGGAGTCTTCCTGCTCGTTGTCCAGGGTGTGAATGGAGTAGCTCCACGGGGGCAGCTCCACATTCCCACAGTCCTCCACGCTCATGAGGGGCAGGGCAGCCCGGCAGAGCTGCAGGATGATGAGGACCAGCTTGGGGGAGGGGCGCTGGTCCAGCAGCAGAGACAGCAGCTTGGACACGCAGGCCGGCTGACTCAGGATGGCCTTCCCAATGTGACTCCTGACACACAAATCCATCGGAACACCTCATACAGACCGCCCCCATTGAAGGAAAATGCATTTTAGATGTGTTGCAAGAAATGTTTGAAGCTGTAGATATGTTGCTGTATTTACAGATCGTATGCACAAACAGCAAATGCAAGCAGAGTAAAGATTGCTACTCTTGAAGATGTCAAAGCCAAAATGAAACCTGTAACCATATTAAAAAAAACAAGATTTTCATGTCTAGGGAAACAAAAAGTCACTCTGACCGAGCTTGAGATGAATAAGCTCTTGCCTGACAACCTCCTGTTCAGCACTTAATCACCAAAGCATTTGGACCTATTTGCTGCAGTTATTTTTCCTTATGTTTTAATGTTGAATAACATGTGCTTTTGCTGTTGTGAAGCTTTAAACCAGTTCTGATTAACATTTCTTATTATCCATGACGTCTGCACTGGCCCTTGCCCGCTCGGCCCACTCCCACAGGACAGACTCCACAAGAGCTTCTGCTCGGAGCACGGGGAGAGCCGAGTCCAGAGGCTGTGGGTTTGAACCTGGGCCAGTCGTCCATTGGGATCCTTAGCGCTGCTGTTAGGGCTGCGCACTCAAGAGAATAAAAGTACACAGATGACCCGAGAGCCCGTTTCGGAGAACACATGCATGCTGTACTTTACCCTTGATTGTCAGTAGGAGTGCTGAGATGAAATGAATAAAATTGGCAAATTCAAATTTAAAGAAAAATAAGTGCAGACTTCAGTACCTGGACAAGTCATTCAGAAGGCTGAGCACATCCTGCAGGGCGTCATTTCCAGCTGCCTGGTTCCCACAGCATTCTGTGGCCCGAGCCAAATGATTGGTCAGCAGGCTGGAGACTTGACGGGCCAACCCAGAATGCACTGCGTCCGTGGACCCTCCTTTGGAATAAAAAGCGACAGCATCACTGCTGGATTATTAACTTCCACCCTGCACCGCATGAATTTCAGATCGAACCACTTCATTTCTTCACGGTTTATTCTACTCCCTTTTCTATTATTACAATAACCATCAAAGTCATTTAGAAAAATATTGTATAATCTGTACAATTTCTCTATGGGCACTGTTTCAGCTATCATTTTCATTTATAAAACAATTTGATGCCTTAAATATTGTGCTTTCATTCAAGTGCCATGCACGTCCTTCTCCACATTCTGGGCTAATTCATACATCACTTTACTCCAACATAACATCTTGACCTGATCTTCTGTGCCTTGCCCGTTTCAGAATACCTATAAAATATATGGATTGAACAAAAAAGTATTTTTTAGGAAAACCATTTATAAAGTAGGGCTACAAAGTCAAGTTTGCTTGGTTGCTTTACTGCTTAAAAGTAGGCAAAAAATGTAATGAAGGAAAAGTAAGGACTCTACACTAGGTGTCATTCATGTTAAGCATCCTGGTTTGCTCTGTCTCAAGCCAACACCTAATACTAACTACCATTTTTAAATCATGCATAATAAAATACATATATACGTGTGCAGACATGCAGAGTTGAATTAATGTAAGGTTAAGTCAAAGTACCAAATGATTTTGTTTCTGGAGATTTTTGAATAGCAAAATTTCCACCAAGTGAATCTGATATTTTAAAAGCTGAAGACATTAACCAAACTCCCACATAGGGGGCAAAGTCAGACTTTCAAACATGGTGGCGCTTATAAAGAGCTGTATTGTAGAGAAACAACAACCAGATGGGTCCAGGAACACCTGTCTCACAGAATTTGTCTAACAAATTCCCAACTAAATGAAACCGAAGAAATTTTGGCCAAGCCTTACAAACTAGACAGCAAGCAACAAAGCATTAGAAAATCTCCTGGATTCACCGGTGGTAAAGAGGTTACTGTACCTGCAATGTCAACCAAATGAATTCTTCGGTGCTAAAAATATGAAAACTGATAGCGAGAAATGAGATTTCAGATCAGGGGAAGTATGGTGAAAATAAGATGCTCTAGCATGGAGGGCCTTCAGTTATTGAAATAAAGAGCTCAATTTGACTGCGCCTAATAAAACATCTCTCTCCCTGCAATCCAGTGACAGTCAGTGACATCTTTGCAGCCACACCTTCCACTTTCTCCCACTCGATGCAGCGGTTGGCCAGGACCTGGAAGGCTGCCCAGGCCATGGTGGCGACTTTCTGCTTCTTGGTCTGCTTGTCATTGGAGCTGCAGTCTCGCTGGCCGCTCAGGCTGCAGAGGCGGTCCATGAGCTGCACGAGCCCGCTCCGCACCAGGCACTTCTCCTCGCTCCTGCAGGGGGAACAGAGACAGCGCGCTCTCACCTGCCCTCGCACACCGGGGACCCGC